GGTGCTTTCTGCCAATAATCTGCAATCAGATAAACGCGGCATATAAATGCGAGAATAAATCTAACGTTTGTCACGTCGGTCGGGCAAATCAAATACAAAAACCGTAATTAACATTCAATGGAAATCAATAATTTAATTTACATTAAGGAGTAAAAGCAAAATTTTGACTCAAGACAAATTGTCGGTATTCAAATCGGCAATATACAAAAGCTCAGGTGAACGTAAACGTTAACTCCAAAAACTAATTTATAATACGCAGGTAACTAAGTATCTTCGTATAATTAAAAAAATCTGAAGGATTCAAACGTAATTAATTAACTAACATTAATATATTCTTCGGAATGACAAAAAGTAACGTAGATAAAATCGGAGTGTCGAAAGATGTTCTTCGTAACGACAAAGGGTGATGTACGTAAAATCAGAGTGATCCACAATATCTCGAAACTCACAATGGCGGTTACATGTAAAAATACATCATCCAAATTCTGCGTAGGGAAATATTCCACAACGGAATGAATGAAGAGAGAAAACAGAGTTCTAACAAATATCCAACGTTAAAATAATGCTGAGTCATGAAAATAAGAAGACCTCTAGCGGAAGAATAAGAAACTATGAAATAAAAACTTTACCAACAGAACTAACTACAACGAGAACTAACGCGGGAAATGTACGGATGGCGTAACGGTTACCAAATGGATGTAATTTTAAAACTGAATTAAAAAAATGAAAAATATATATATTGAACAGGAGAATATACCAGTAATTCATTATGTGGTAAAGGAGCAAAATTTAGACGTTGCATTTTTTTACTTCTTTTTATGGACCTAATTAATAGGTCATCATGGAACGTGTAAAAAAACATGGAATTTTAGAGCCTTTCTTAATAGATTCAATCAACTAAGTTGACATGCATATTTATTCGAGTTCAATCAAACCAGATCATTAGATTTCAGGTTTTGAGAGGAGATAAAGGGCCAAACTTCCGCAGATAAGGGGTATAGGAGCATTTTTATTAATGAGCTAACCGTGGATACTTATATTAAAAATTAGTTGTCATATGAAAACACTCTTATAAATTGACTCCTTTGAATATGTTGTTGAAAGTAATCTCGTTCCAACTTCAGATTTCTTTACATTTACAAAGTCTCGTGATGACGTCCAAATCTAATTAATTACCTAGATCTTTATATTGTAATTAATTCCACACCCAGTGCAAATTCCTATTCAGTCATAAATTTACATGCACCTGGATGTTAAATAAATATTTAACCCACACAAAAGAATGGTGTTATTGAACTGTAAAATCACTTTACAATTAATGAGATAATCTTCACCAATATCTTTGGTTTGTGGTCAGTTATCGTTTATAAAGGAATATACAAAATGCTTCACGGGATAAATTCCCGTAAATCCACCTCTTCAGGAACGTTAAAATGACTTTAAGTGCAAACAAAATCCCCAAAAATGGTCGATTCTTATCTTTACACAATTCATTTATCGATAAGTTAAAATATTCTCCCAATGACAGCTGATTTTCTCCTTTGGAAAGGTAGCAGCCAGTTGGAAAATCGGCTGGTGGAACGCCCCTTTTAACACACAGTCGGACCTTTGTATCGCCAGGTAAAAAAATTTGGTGTTGCATTTGAATTCAGAACGAACCCGTGCTTCAGGTTCCTCACAATTTATAGTTACAATTTGGCTTAATCACTGGAATATTCCGCAGTATGGAAATGTCCAAAAATACCGTTATAACCTTATGGGTTTTGCAAACAAAAGCACGAATTAATTGTCTTTAACCTTTTTACCGGTTGCCGTTTTATTTATTAGGTTACATTAACTCGTCCTATAAACAGATTAGGTGCACAACAATCAATTGGTTTTTTTTTACTAACTTGTCACTCCAAACATAACGCAATGAAACGTTTTGTACCTTGGACCTTAACGCTTTCGTGGCAACCATTTATTTATTTATTTATTTGTTTAACCAGACACCATACAGAATAAAAATTCCAATTAAGTACATGGCACTGGGGCTCTGAACAAACATTAGAACTTAAGATCTAATTTGATTTATTATTGCATTGAGGGGATCGTGAAAAAAGTCGATATCATTCACTGAGGAGAACTTATTTAAAGTGATCAAGATCTTAATAAGTTGTGTTGATAATTGCAAAAATATATAGTATTATTTTTCCTTAGCTTAACAAATGGTACCTTAAGCTGGGTCCGTTAACTTGGCCCCCCCACTGAGAGATTTCATAGTCGTATTATTTTGAAATGAATGCGCTCGTTATGCGCTCATATGCGCCACCGATAATAACTCTTGCGCCATTATCGTTTTTTAGAAATCCGAAAAAACATTTGGGGGGGGGCAAGTGAACGTAGCCCCCCCCAGTACGTATTTTGTCCCTTGTAACTAGGTCACCTGATACATTTGGTTATGCGCTCAATTGCGCCACTTGAATTAAAGCTAGCGCCATTACGGTTAAGCCATAAAAAATTTTTAAAAAGTGGAGGGTCTAACTTAGCGTTTTCAAAAGTTATTTCCGGAAGTGCGTCCATTTTGAAAATATTTTACATCGATTCGGTCTTCGGAGTAACTCCCAAATACAAATTTTTTAAAACCTACCTATTTTACTTTCTCAGAATCGTTTAACTAAAGCTCCCAAAAAAACACCCTGTATAGTGTTTCTGAAACACTATAATGGCGCCAAGATTTTTGTTTACGGCGCATTTTAGCGCATGATGAAAGGTACGATGTAGTAGAAAAAACATGTTAAAAAACGTAACTTTTGAAAACGTTAAGTTAGCCCCCCCTTTTTAAAAATTTTTTATGGCTTAACCGTGGCGCTAGCTTTAATTCAAGTGGCGCAATTGAGCTCATAACCAGATGTATCAAGTGGCACAAATACCGGTAGCAAAATGCGTTATGGGGGATTCCGTTCACTTGGCCCCCCCCAAATATATTTAAGGATAACCAAAAAACAATAATGGCGCAAAGATATCTTTTTACGGCGCATTTCAGCGCATACCTGAGAGTACAATTTCGTATGAAAAGATGTTAAAAAAAAGTATCTTTTAAAAACGTTAAGTTGGCCCCCCCACTTTTTGAAAATTTGTCACGGCTTAACCGTAATGGCGCTAGCTTTAATTCAAGTGGCGCAATTGAGCGCATAACCAAATGTATCAGGTGACCTAGTTACAAGGGACAAAATACGTACTGGGGGGGGCTACGTTCACTTGCCCCCCCCCCAAATGTTTTTTCGGATTTCTAAAAAACGATAATGGCGCAAGAGTTATCGGTGGCGCATATGAGCGCATAACGAGCGCATTCATTTCAAAATAATACGACTATCAAATCTCTCAGTGGGGGGGGGGGCAAGTTAACGGACCCAATAGTGGGGATACGTGATATTTCGCCTTCTTACGTGCCGATTACAGTAGCCCGGAGGATAATGACCATGCGCACATTTTAAATCCTTTGAAAACTGCAAAATAACCTATACCTATCAATTTTTAATTTGATAGTTGGTAAGATTGAAAACGGTTGATTTGGCGGTTTCTGTCATTAGTTCTCCGAGGCTAGTCGAGTCGTCGACCGGTGTCAAGTTAGCCCCCCACTGTTTGAATTTTCAAAGTATTTTTATTTCAATCGTTTGTTGGTGTTTGTTAGTTACATTTTCACGTTTGTTGGTTGACCGTTATTTAATTATTCAAAATTCAAAAATTTGGGCATACCTATAGTTAGCCCTCCATTTTTGGAATTTTCAGAATATGTTTATTTCAATCGTTTGTTGGTATTTTTTTTATCGTTGCTTGGTTGATAGTATCTTCATAATAAATTTTGTAAGTTTTGGACGTGAAACTATCCCTCGACATTAAAATTTGAGAATTTTTTTATTTGCGATTATTTGTTGGTCGCTGTTGGTATTTGGTGGATATTATTTATCCTTTGTTGGTTGGTAGTATCTTTAGAATAAATGTTTACAATGTTGAGCGTGACGACATCATTCAAACGTGCTTATTATAAGTTTCCTGTACAATAGAGAGTACCCAGCTTAATAAAACCGCATAACTCTAGGCGAGGAATAGATAAACTCTTTAAAGGAGCAATGCGAGATTTTGCAATTATAAAATGCGTCTTTATAGAGCAGTCCTTACTAAGAACTCTAAGATAAACTACAGCACAATATGCATTTTGACTAGAATCACACATTCCATGTAATTCAGCCGAGAGAAAATTATCTAAATTAATGATTTGACGAGGAAATATTATCTCAGACAAACAATGAAGAGAGTCCCAATCTACATCACTAGCCCAACAGTGTTGAATTAGGACCTTCAATGTAACTATTAAAGGTACTAAAAAACCTAAAGGATCATAAAAAAACTGCAACAAGCAGTGCGATGTTTTAATTGTGCGTCCAAGAGACATTATGCCAATGAATGCCCCCGTCCGCAAGATTATCGTGAATGTTTCAAATGTAAACAACCGGGTCATACAACAGACAACTGCTCGACAGGGAACCAACTTGTAACAGGCCCACCCAGAAATGAACGTTCTGCTGCAAATACAACGGCAAAGGCGATCGACCCCCAGGTTGGAGACACCGTTGGAAAGTTCCTGCGAGAAGTAATTATCAATGGATGTCAAGGCGATGGTTGATGTAGATAGCTCAATATGTACGGCTCTAGCAACCGTGTTTGATCAACTTTTCGACCCGAAAGCTTCTCGTGAGTGACTATGAGGTTAACTTACAGGATTTGCGAGAGCGCAAATATTGTCAAGAGTGAAATTGATTTAAACTGCCATAATAGAAACTTCCAATTTAGAATTCAAAATTGAGATACGATTTATTAAACGTGAATATTGCATTTTTATGACCCATTATTCACTCCTTCGCTAATATTAAGCTATCAGAATTGATAGGTAGCGTGGGTAGGGTAGTAATTGAAAAGATAGTAATCGGTCACCTCAAAAAAGCGTTAAATTGACTTACCAAATATTTTTCGGACGACTCAATTTGAAAATTGTTGAGTTCCCAAGTGTAATGTACTTCGGCGTTGTTCTCAGCTCGGGCTTGGGCATAAAACTTTGCTGTTTCGCCGCAAGCTACGGTTGCAAGTGAAGGAGCTTTTACGAATGAGATTGGCGGGGCACTTTCGCCACCTGTAAGAAGACACATATTTAGGGTATCTTTGGTAGTTTTAAAGAAATCGCTCACGCGTTTTCATTGCACCAAAGTTGACTGGTAAGACAGACCTTGTAACTTACCCTGTACAAAAATATACGATTCAGTTGCAATTTGTCCAAATTGGTCTTTCACTTCACATCTGTACAGGCCCGAATCTTCGACAAATATGTCGTTTATGTTCAGAGTAATACTTCCATCATCTGAAACTGATTGGTCGAAGTCTTTGCAGTTGGGCAGCAGTTGACCGTCCTTATACCAAGAGGCGCTATATGGAGGTACACCCAACACTCTCGCCTCTAAGCTTACGTACTGACTTTCTAGAGGCTTGATAACCGACGGCAACCCCTTGGTAAACCTCAGAGCGGTTCCCATTTCTTTACACTCACAATTACTCACAAAGTAACCGCACCACCGCGCGCCAGGAATGTACGATCCCGAATAAGGCGACCTCTCCGGTCTGCTGTACGTGCCATAGTTGGTGTCATTACCGTAAAATGTCCTACTATAGCTTGGATTGGGAGAGGCTCTTCTCGCGCGTAGAGCAGATCTTAGGTACTTCTTGTACGAGCTGACATCCAAGCGGGCGTTCGCATGCACTTGCCCCAAGCTGTTCTCCAAAGTGACACAGTACAACCCCGAATCTTGAAGAGTTACGTCGGATATTTCCAATATCCTCAAATCGCCCTGCTCTCGAATGGTCACACGCGGCGACGCACCGACTGGCACGCCATCTTTGGTCCAAGTAGTCCAAGGCTCGGGATGTCCGGCGATTGAGCAACGAAATCTAACTGTCTCGCCTTCTTCTGCTATTCGATTGTGAGGAACCGCGTAAAACTTCGGAGGCGCCTCTCTAAACGATCTACCCACGCTGGAACTTCGCGTACTATAAGCACCTGGGGAGACACTGTGAGATGATCTCGAGCGTGGCACACTGAGCGACGACGCACCCGGAGGTCTAGATAACGCTTCGGTGAGAAGGTTGTCCTTTTCTTCCGGAACTAAAATCAGAGTGAAGTAATTGTTAACCTTGGAGTTTGTGACAACTTACCGTCAACTAAAAGGCACGCGGACGTTCGTGCTTCACCCAGTTCGTTGTAAACAACGCATGTGTATTCACCCTCATCTTCTGGGTAGACTTTTTTAATCACCAATTTTGCAACGCATCCCTCTAATTCGGATAGGAAATCTTCTCCCAAACGTACCAACTAAAAAAACTGGGTTTGGTGATATTCCAAATTTGACTGGTGCTCACCTTATTGCACTTTTCCCAACGGACGTCCTGAGAGAAAGATTCTTCGACTTCGCATTCGAGTGTCACCGAATCTCCGTCACAGCATCTAATGTCGCACAGCTCTCTCACGATCTTTGGAATGGTTTGAACTCTCCTGTAAAATCACACGTCTCTTAACTTTGAGATAAGATAAAATCTATTTCAGTCTTGCTTTGTTATACGACTATTTACTAAAGTTGTGCTGGGAATTTCCGCACAAAATTAAAAGCGAAACGCGACTTACCCAAATATTTTCTGGCCCTTAAAGTCGTTGAATTTGTCTATACCTAAAAACCAACAGTTAGCTCAACGCCAGATGTGTTTCTATGACCAATACCTCGAGCCTTAATTTGTAGCGAAATAATTGCTTTGGCCTCGCCATAACAATTTTTAGCAATCACCGTGTATGTGCCGGTATAATCAAGTTTGGCGTCGGGTATTTCAAGACGATACTCGGGTCCTTCTCCAATTCTATGGAAATGAGGGGAGTCCTTATAATAATCGGGCTGCAACAAATTTAACCATGTAGTTTTTGAAAGATCGTGCGGCTTTATTATTGTGTTTTCCAGGTTGTGGCCTTAATAATCAAACTAAACTATTAACGAAAGGGTTGCTGTGTTCTTTTCCATTCCATGAGACCTAGTGGGAGATAATCCAGTATTTTAAGGTTGGACGACACAAAGGGTAGATTTAGTTGAAGTATAATTAAGGTAAAGTTTTTCTTTCTATTTGTAGACCAATTCATTTAAGGATGTTGATGGATCGGAATTTTGTCGTTTAAACAGTAAAGAGAAAAACATTATAACCGTTTTGAAAATTTTAAAAAGAAAATTTACACTAAAAAATATTCATGTTTGGAAGAAAGTTTCCATTTAAGGTTGAATGATCGAATGTCCTTCTCCCTCACGGAAATTGTTGTAGATAAGTACAGGACTATACGAAAAAACTAAGAACACTACCCTCTCATATATATGCACTACTATCCTAATACCCAAAATCTTCCAAAAATAATTGTATTCAAATTTCAGAAAGCCTAATAATAAGGCCAAAGAAAAGCAAGATTGTTGACTATATAGGTTGATGAAGACTTTGTCACGCCTTCCATACTCCTGGATGTCCATTAACCTAGCAGAGCAAGGTCGGCAGAACACAATCAAACGTATTGCATAATTAGTTGCTAATTAAGTGCCCTATTCCCGAATTAAATGTTCCTTTTTTTTAATTATTACATGTTTTGCCAGGTTCATATGAACTCAGCAGAGCACTACCTTAAAAACCCAAGAAAATGAAAAGTGAACTAACTATAATTAGGTGCTAATTAGGCGCTAATTCGGGGATAGGGCACTTAATTATCACCTAATTAGCACCTAATTATAGTTAGTTCACTTTTCATTTTCTTGATTTTTTGAGGTAGTGCTCTGCCGAGTTCATATGAACCTGGCAAAACATGTAATAATTTTAAAAAAGGAGCATTTAATTCGGGAATAGGGCACTTAATTACCACCTAATTATAGTTTGTTCACTTTTCATTTTCTTAGTTTTTTTGAGATAGTGTTCTGCTGAGTTCATATGAACCTGGCAGAACATGTAATAATTAAAAAAAAAGGAGCATTTAATTCGGGAATAGGGCACTTAATTAGCACCTAATTATAGTTAGTTCACTTTTCATTTTCTTGGTTTTTTTGAGGTAGTGCTCTGCTGAGTTCATATGATCCTAGCAGAACATGTAATAATTAAAATAAAATGAGCATTTAATTCGGGAATAGGGCACTTAATTAGCACCTGATTATAGTTAGTTCACTTTTCATTTTCTTGGGTTTTTGAGGTAGTGCTCTGATGAGTTCATATGCACCTAGCAGAACATGTAATAATTTAAAAAAAAGGAACATTTAATTCGGGAATAGGGCACTTAATTAGCACTTAATTAGCACCTAATTATGCAATATGTGTGATTGTGTTCTGCTGACCTTGCTCTGGTAGGTTCATGGACATATTAAAATTGTATTACATCACAATCACCGAAAAAGGATACAACTGTTTTTTCTCACTGCCCCCTTGATATTAAATTCACACACATATGTCTAGGCGAGATTTTAATTAGTTGGAATGGTTTCAAGTGTATTTTCTTCAAATTAGTTTTGGCAGCTGTTCTTTTAAACATGAATGAATAAAGATGGTTGCTGAAGTAGCGTAGCAGCCATTTTAATTGGAATTGGGTAATCTGCAAGTATCGTACTCGGAAAGTAGAATTTGTGTGCGGGCTGCATGTGACTTGTATTCGTACGTAGACTGTAGCGACGGCAAATTAGTTTCGTTTTTTGTGATTGAATAAACTCTAATTTCGAGAAGTTTGAAGCGAATCAAGTGTAAATAATATAATAGAGATAACTACCGACGTATAAGCACGAAGTAAAGTGCTCCCGAAACGCGTTACGTGTCCCAAATGATTTTCAATCGGTCGTACTTGCTCGATTATCCCTGATATTATTAATTTAAGGAAAGTTGAAGCCTTACTAGAATCTCTTCAATCTGGGGTGGAACGTGAGTCAATTTTGTCAAAATATGTTGGACTTTTGTCAGTTCCCGTACGGAAAGAACTTCACATACCAACGAATACGAACCTTGACCTAGGGGAATTCTCATCCAAGACGAAATGTATGGACATCGATGCGTCCTCAGGCTAATACTAATGTTATTTTGTTGTAATCCAAACGCATCAATATAAATATGAGGGGCAATTTTAGTTCGTTTTCAAATAACTCGTTATTTGTATTGGCGATAGTAAGGAAATTTAAAAAAAAGAAAGAACCCCGGCATAAGTTATTATGGTAATGTGTAGTGTCATTTTACTGACGAGTGTTCCCGAAATCGTTTCTTTTTAGTATAATATACTTAGATAGAAAAATTTGTTTTAAAGACACCGCAATATGAAAGTAGAGTAACTGTTGAATTCTTTCCTATTCTAGTTTGGGATAAGTAAAGCACGGAAGGTAGGTCCAACATACTAAAAAGGAAGGTAGAAAAATATGAAGTTTGTGAGACGAATTTAACACATAGAACCATACTACGAACCGGAGAAAAGAGCGGGACTATTACAAATTACAAATTGAGGTTTTCAAGTAGGGGACTCATTATATAGATGCTCGAGAGAAACTAGCGATAATTTGTTTATGCGTTATTGAGTTCTATATACGTCGTGACCTGTTAATGGGTTTCTTCTTGGCGTCAGTCTGTCAGTCTTTAAACGTAGATAATGTTATCTTAATGTGCTGTACGTGATCAAAACTGCTGATTTGAAATAACGTAGTGGATTTAACTGCAGATCCATAGGAAATGGAGCTTTTTAAAGCAGTGGAGACCGCGGGAACGTAATTAGTTGAAATGGACGAATCAGATTAATTCGTAGTTAAAGATGGCTAATTTAATTCCTCGGCGCCATTTTGAGGGTGTTTTGTAAATAATAAGATAGGTAGGGATTAATCTAAACGAGGGTTTTTAGAGAGATTCGGGTTTTGATTTCAGGTCAAAGGCAAATTCGATTTCAAGCAACGGGAAAGTCATGTAAAGTAACCCGGAACGCATCTTTCTTTCGGGAAGTTGCTTGAGCAGTAAAGTTCCTTGGAGTTTTCTGCAAATTTTATGGTTTAAAAAGTGTAAAACCCAAAAGCTGATCAGATTTAAGCCGAACGAACGTTTTCTGACGGGAATTAAGTGAATGTGTCATTGGAACCTTCGTCTCAAAGGATTATTTGCGCCAATAAGAGAAAGGAATTTTAAGTCAAACTAAATTGTTTCTTGTGAAATTTAAAAAAACATCGGTATCGCTCGAAGACGAGTTAAATGAAACATGTCATTTGAAAACGCGTCGAAAAGGATTATTGGGAACAAACTAGAAGGGGTTGACAGTCTTAATTGAACTTATGACAAAAATCTTAAGCGAACGTGTTCTTACCATCTCAATAAAAGTGAGAGAGACAACTTTTCATTAGTGGAAATTTTTCGCTTTCGGAAGTAAGAAGTGTTCAGAACAATTTAAAGCAGTGGCAGTTTGGGTCGGAAAAAGTTAGTAATGAATCGAATTGGGGGGGGGGGGGGGCGTAATTTTTTATTGAGCTCGTAAATTCCCAAGAAATTCAATTTGCCGTTATCCATTGTAACGGATTCACAAAACAATAATATTGAATTTATTTTTTTTATACACCTGCGCTGTGCCTAATAGGCGCGAGTGGTTCCCTTTTATTTGAAGGCGAAATTGGGATAACAACAAGAAATGCGGGTTTTAATATTGGTTTAAAAGGTACGCTAGGCTTAAAACTTGCGTTGGTTCCGTTTTATGTTTCATATACATAGCTCAACGTATGATACTCGAAGGAGATGCTTTGTGTATGTGAAGGTATAAAGGTATACACCTCGCACGCAATTTTAATAGCTGAGAGAGACGCTTATTTTTTAAGAATAAAAAAACACTAAAACTAGTTAAAGGACAGCACAGTCAGATATTGACACGTACTATGCCAAAAGTAAACAGAATAGAGCAATCCCAATGTTTTACAAAAAACTGCAAACAAGCGCTAATCGAATGAGTAAAATGATTCAAATAATTGCCTTCTATTACACAACTAAAATTAACTTACATGCCTCCAATCGAGAACGCTAATAATGTTATGTCCAGCGCAATTTGTCTAATTGGTCACAGTGGTGACCATAACAATTCAATTCTGCGTCAAATGGAAGAACTGATCAAATTATTTGATTATCGCAGTAACTAACATTTTAATAAACATTTTCAAGTTAAGGTTGAGTGGTAGAAGTAGAACGTGAAATGCGAATATTATTATTATAAAAAAGATCTCTTTAAAAGCGTACTACTCAGGTGAAGGTTACTATGACTAAAGATGTATAAAATAAAATGGGTCATTGGACAAATTTATTTATGATTCATCATTGTTATATCAATATGTTTTTGTTTAATTAAATAAGTTTCGCATTGTGTTATGTAAATTAATGTTAAATTGTTTACTTTGAACACTTGACATTTTAATATGCAAATGCGAGTTTGTTTACGATTTCATTGATGCGATTTACAATGGGGTCAATACACTTGATATTTCTATATAAATTTTGGCGCCCTCCTCCTATTTGGTCATGACCGTTTCTAGGCCCTAGCATAAAATTACAATAAAAGTGCCTCACAATTTGATTAATAACACTTATTATCTCCAACGGGATTTAATTACATGTAATTCAATTCGAAGTTACATTAACCACGGTAATTAAATTGCAATTTATTAATGAAATTGCGTTAGAGCGTGGCGCGGCTTATTAAATATTTAATCGCATCCATCGATTGAAACAATAACAGTTCAGACGAATAAAAAATTCTCACCCCTTCTTGTTTAATTCCAGTCCTGGCGAATTTTGCGCACAAATTTGGATACCTAGGTACGTTACCGAAGACGTCAAGTACGAAACTGAATCAAGACCGTCGTCTTAGATCTAAATGGGAACGTGAACAGCTGGCGATTAATTGATGGAAAAGTGGCTAATTAAGTAAAAAACCTGCGATTGGAAAAGGTGTAACGAGTCATTATTTCGATCCTCCTGCAAAAACCATTGTTGGCAAACAATGAAGCGCATAATAGGATGTCCATGCCAATTAAGGGAGAACAAAGGGAGCCTACGTGTTGAATAAGAAGAAGGAATTTTTGCGTCCAGCTTTTCTTTCAAAATTGAAGGAGATGGCGATATGCATATTAAACGTTGACGTTGTTGTTGATACCAAAACCGTAGTTGAACGTGTAGGTATTGTCCACTGATACAAAGCAACGCATCGTGGGAATTTCTAGGCAATTATCTGGTAATGTCACATTTCCTAATATACTGAAAGCTGGATGGATGATTTATTTTCCTTCTAAGGATGTCATGGCACAACAGCATCTAGAAAGTGGGCAAGTGCCGCTGTAACGGTACATTCCTGTTCTATAGTCTATTAAGTCAATTTTCCAATGAATTCATGAGACGATACCTACAGCTGAATCATATCCAGTCGTTGATAAGGAAGCTATGCAGCTTGAAAAAAAAACGCCAATTTTTCTGATGTGATAGAGAACATTTATTACTTAATTCGTTTTGAGCCGTCATAGAGATCAAGTCAAAGTAAATGTGAAAGCGAAAATTAATTAATTCGTTTTGGGCCGTCACAGAGTTCAGGTCGCGGTAATTAAGTCTTCTAAGAGCTTGTAAGTCCAAGAAACCCCAATTAAAAAACTAACTCCAAACCGTCCGTCAGTCGAAATTCGAAGTGTTGCAAATATCAAATTTCAAGAACCTTGCAAAATCTCAATGCGAAAGTAAAGAAAAGAATTCCGTCTCAGTGATAACGTGAGCGAAAGTTCATCTGCCGTAGTGGAATTGACATTATAAAACGATAAAGTCATATCGCGAAGGCAGGCTTTTAGGCAGAAGATCATTTAACTGGACGTTTTGTCAACCCATTCAAAAGAGATTATTGTTATAAAGTCACAAAGGTTCGTCGTAAAATAAGTGTACGTGCAAATTCGTATTTAGAACTATCGAAATATTCTAAAGGTACGAGCGGACTTTCCCGGACAATAATCAGAGTTTAGAGCTTCGATTAAATAACAATTTTAATTCGAAAGCGAAAGTTAATGTAGATTAACACCGTTTCGGCAAGTAACAATGAACTTGTTTGGTCTTTTAGTGCGCTAATAGTAACGTGCAGTGGAAAGCTGTTTAATAGCAGACAATATAAATAGAAAGTTTATTGCCAGATCACTTGCGTGCGAATAGAGTCTTAAAGAAAATCAGTTACATCGCTTATATTGGCTCAGTTCCGCTAATCAAAAAGGATGATTTATTCCGTGTTGAGCACCAAGGGAACAAGTTAAATCTAGTATAAGTGAAAACATTAATTTTGTTTCGAATGAGCGAACGGTGTAACGGGCGCTGTTTCATGGGGTAAGTTTTAGTTTTGAATTTTTTTTATTTGCGGGTTCCTGGATACAGTCCTGTCGAATTGTTTGCTTATAAAAGCTCGAGGAGTCACCAAATTGCGAGGTACGATAAAATCATTCGTGGATAAAGAAGCTACTGAACTACTGCCAATTTTGCTGATGTGTAGGTGGGATTAATTCTAAACACTTTTTTGTGCACGTGTATTTATAACTATTGAAAAATTATAAAGGTACGAGAGGACTTTTCCCGCACATAATAAATCAGAGTTAGAATGACGGTTCGATCAATTAAAAATTCCAACTCGAAAGCGAAAATTTCAAAAGACAAATTAACTGGGTTTAAATCGCTGGTGATTTTTGGTTTATATTTATAAATCTATTTGTCGCAACACTAACGAATTTTTTGGAACTTAACTTAGTCACTGTAAATATCGGTAAAATATGTGGTAAACGCTATCACACTGTCACTTACAAAAAAAAATTAACATTACTTTACGAGTGAATGAACAATTCATTTACGTATTCAATCAGCAAGAAGTTATCTTCCTGTCTATTTTTTGTCACCACAATTCAGAAACTCCAAATTCGATGTAGAATCCGAAAATGTAGAAAAAATAGGGGGTCTCTATTTAAAATAACAAAGTTGATGGCCACTTCCGGTATTTGCGGAAGTGGCGCCATCTTGAAAATATTTTAATTTAATTCATCGTGTGCCAAAACCCTTAGGGGACTTATCAATTTAGTTTCATTTTCAAAGGTTCTCCATATCTTTCTAAGTGACGCTCGTCAAGAACCCCGTATATAGTCGCTTTATGAAACTCAAATAATATAATTTAATTAACCCGTAATGAATCGGCGTGTTGTTTGTTAAATTAAGGACATAAAATCGATTTTTTTTAATTTTTCATTGTGTATCCGGTTTAAGGATTTTTTTCTTCCATTAATTTTTATTAGTTTCCAAGTATCCCTCAGTAAAGTACACCACGATGTATATAGATATAGAGCAAGAAAACGCGCATTTTTAATCTGCTTTGTTGTAAAGGTGGCCGCTTCGTTCAATTTTGACAATTTTATTGACAAGCCATTAATTTTAATTCAAAAGGTAGTATTTGAAGAGGCCTTAATCTCCTCTCGGACTGTAACGGTACACACGAATGCCTTTTGGCTTTAGTAACGCCCCCGTCACGTTCCAGCGCCTAATCGATCGCGTGGAGGCCCGGTGAGTCGGGATAATTATCCTCGCCTACCTGGACGACATCTTAGTACTGTCCAAGGACGTGGAAAGGTATTTGCCGCCATTCTCACCCGCCTAAAGCAATGCCACTTGTAGGCAAGACGGATAAGTATAAATTGTGCAGATAAAACGCATTTTTTTAACCGAAATAGCTTTTGTTTTGACATCACCAATGGATATATTTCTTGCAGACGTTTCAATCGCCCTTTGTGAGTACTCTCTTCCGACAATCCGTTCTTGAGGTATAAGGGAATATACCCGATCACCATAAGAGGTCGAGGAGGAGGGCTATGGTTGGTAGAAATTAATTCCTTCCGTTGAGACCTTTCATTAGAGTACCATGAAGGATAAAACTAATTCCACTCCCCCCCCCTCTCCCCCACCACCTTGTACTTTGATAAGAGGACATAAAAAAGGGCAGTAGTTGGTAGAAAACGGTTCCTTTCGTTGAGACCTTTAATTAGAATACAATGAGAGATCAAATTAATTTTTAACCCCCCCCCCCCCTCAGGTCCCGTCGCTCACTGATCTCGAAAAAGAGTCGCACGGGAAAGTTATAGTTTGTACAAACCAATTTATTTCGATGAGAGCTTTCATTAGAATACCATGAAGGGTAGAACCTGGGGTAGAACATGTGTTTATCCCCCCCCCCCCCCACATTTTCAAAAACAAAAATTAAAAATTAATTTGATCTCTCATTGTATTTTAATTAAAGGTCTCAACGAAAGGAACTGTTTTCTACCAACTACTGTCCTTCTTTTTGTCCTCTTATCAAAGTACGGTGTGGAGGGGGAGAAGGGGGGTGGGGAGTGGAACTAGTTTTCTCCTTCATGGTACTCAAGGTCTCAACGAAATGAATTAATTTCTACCAACCGTAGCCCTCCTCCTCGACCTCTTATCGTGATCGGGTATATTCCCTTATATCACAAGAACGGAATGTCGGAAGAGGGTACTCACAAAGGGCGATTGAGACGTCTGCAAGAAATATATCCATTGGTGACGTCAAAACAAAAGCTATTTCGGTTTAAAAAAATGCGCTTTATCTGCACAAGAGTTGTGCATCATCTATACTTGTTTGTATTTTGTTCGGAAACAAATTTTAAAATTCAAGGTATCTAAGATAACTATCTTAACCTACCTTAAGAAAATCTCTCAACCATATCACCTCCGGTTTCGGATCCCCTATAACTTCACAGCATATAATCACATTATCTCCCTCAAATGCATCTGACGATCTTGGCTTCACCAAGAACTTTGGCTCCTTTGAATATCTAAAGCAGAACGTGTAAGTGACGCCAAAATTTGACACTGAAAACCCTTACGGAATGTTTTCTAATCTTTCGATATGTAAGCCGTTAGGTACACCTTCTTCCCTTTGCAAAATTTCAACTTTGACATCGGTTTCCGTTCTGCCCACCTCATTGGTACATATGCAAGTATAAACGCCGCCATCTTCCGCGCTTGCTTCCTTGAGAACCAACGAAATTCGACCGTCGTGTGCTAACGACATGCGGGTCTTGCGGTTCGGTCGCAGGCGAGTCTAAAAGGTGAATTACAATGACAGATTTTGATAGCGATTTACTCACCCCATTTCTGTACCAAAGAACCGTAACCGCCGGATATGCTCTGACCCTAACTTCTAAGCGTAACTCTTTCCCTTCCAATACCTTAATCACGTCGGGCTCAAACTTAGCTAAGAATTCGGGGGGGACGTAGTCGTGAATTCCTTTATCGACAATTAACTTGCAGTGGCAGGAGACTGAGCCGAAGAGATTTCGAGCCGTAACGCTGTACGTTCCGGAGTCGTCCAAAATGGTCTTATCAATCTCCAAGGTGCAGAATTGGTCATCCTGTAAGAATTTATGCCGATGGTCTTCGAAGACCTTGCGCCCGTCTCTAGACCACTCGATTGTAGGGATCGGAAAACCGCCGATTTGGCAAGAAAGACGAACTGGAAACGATACTTCAACTCGTCGATCGCGCAGCCTCATCAGAAATTGCGGAGGTGCTTCGGCAGTTGGCACATTGACCTGCAGACTGCAAATAAAAACATTTAGGGACGTTTGGGTAGTCGGTTTAACGTACAATTTCAGATCGGTGTCCGCTTTCAGAATTTTGGGATCGTTCACGACGTAGAGGCGAGTGAAGGTTGAAGCTCGTCCTACTTTGTTGGCCGCTTCACACATGAAGCAACCGGAATCACTCATTTGCAGATTAGATATCGTCAAAGTGCAGACGTCACCTTCATAGGTGGTGCTGTACCTTTCCTCTTCGCGAAACTTGATTTCCTTTCCATTGCGACACCAGCGCATGCTGATATCTTGCTCCTCGCAAATCTAAAGTAGCCATAATTAACGTTTATTTGATGCCGGAAGAGTTTTACCTCACACTGCAGTACGATATCGTACCCCTCCAAACCTTTCACGTGCCCCGGTAAATTTTTGACAAACTCTGGAAACTCGGCGCAATCTTCTATGGTAATCGGACACGTTTGCACCGACTCCCCCCATCCGTAGCGGTTCCTAGGCGTTATTCTAAACTGATACTCTCCATCTGGATTTAGATTAAACACGTCAAAATTGGTGCTGACCGTCTCCCCGAGCTGCTTCCAACGGGCGCCTTCTCCGCCTGGTAGCCACAAGTCAACTCTGTACGACAAGACCGGGGCGGCTCCTTTGTGTTGGGGCTTGTTCCAAGATAATGATAACCAATTACGTCCGCTGTTAGTCACGACTGGGTCTCCAAAAAGTCGCCCGGGTACATCTGAAACGTGACTGCAAAATTTGAGAGAGCTAGGAGCGTTTACCTGTGAAGTAACGACGCTCGTAGTAATTGGCGATATTTTGCAGAATGTCGTGAGGACTTTGCCGTTCGACGGACGAGGCTCGTTCCCTTAAAACTACCGTGAAAAATGCTCTATCACAGCCGTACCGGTTCCTGGCGAGAACGCAGTAGGTACCCATATCCTCTTCCCTTACTCTCTTCAACGTGAGTCGCGTGTAGTCATCGATCGTTTCGCCCATTGTCCGATAATCGTTCGTGATGTCGTGTAGTCCTTTCATCCAGGTAACTGAAAACAGTTGTGAGCGAATGGCGTTTCAAGAGGAACGCTTACCTTTTGGTTTAGGATCCCCGCTTAGTCTAAAAGAGACCACAATATCATCACCAACTCTTACGGATAACACTTTCTCGGGTCGCGACTTAAATATGGGAGGCTTCCCGCCTCTAACCGAAAATGGGTCAACAACGTGCAGGTAGGCTGACGTCTGTATGTGACCATAAAAGTTGGAAGCAGTGAAGCTGTATTTCCCCGAATCCAAATCGGTTGCATTATCAAACATTAGACTGTAGACCCCGGATTCGGTGAAGGTCTTATGCCTTGGTGACGATTTTGGTAACGCCTGCTTGTCTTTGTACCATGTGACCACCATTGGGGAGCCCTTAACCTCCACTTGCAGAGCCCAAGTGCCGCCGGACGGAACGAAGTTGTGCGCCAACACACCGGAAACGTACGGACGTGCGGTTTCCACTGGCGCGTGTTTCACGACGACGTCTCCGCTACCCTCAAACTCGACCTGGTGCGAAATCTGGTCCTGCCATTCCGCGTTTTCAGCCCTGCAGAGATACAGCGCGCTGTCCGACTTGTCCGGATTTTTGATCAGTAGCCGGCAGATCCCGTCGGCTAAATAGTTAACCGTGTACTTCTCCCCGGAGCAAATCTTCAGACGATTTTTGAACCATGCGATTGTCGGGGTCGGTTGTCCTCTAACGCGACATTCTAGTACCAGCTCGTTCTTGTCGACGTCGTAGCTGTCGGTAATGCCACGAGTAAAGGTCGGCGGTAGATTTGACCCCTCAAAACCTTTGAGTATCTTCAAGTCGGCCTTCGTGGTGCAATAACCGTACTTGTTATTCACAATGCAAGTGTACTCTCCCGTGTCTCTGACAGTTGTGTTCAGAATTTCGAGAGTGAACAGACTGTCCGAAGAGTAGACCTTGTATTTCCCACTGTCGAAAATCGGTGATCCGTTCCTGAACCATTTCACGTCCAGAGGATCGGCCCCTAACGCTCCACAGGTCAGTTTAATTCGGGTTCCGTCGCTGGCGTTTAGGTCTTTTAAGTGCGTAATAAAATAAGGCTTTTTAAACGAATTTTGAGGTTCGCTTTTTGAAACCGCTTCCACAGAAATTGTTGGTGCAGCAGTCTCTGTTCCGTTTTCGATGATCGTCGCACTAAGAGACTTCTTAACTTCTTCCAACGCATTACCTTTTGATTCTTCTTCGCCTTTTGCAATGATGCTACAACCCTCTTCCGATTTTTCGATCTTCATCGCAGTCTTTTCAGCAATTGGTTTTTCGCTTTCAGTACTTATTTTTTTGACTTCTTCAGTGGCCTTTTCTGCCTGTGCATCTGATGTAGATTTGCTTACACTCTTCTTGCGAATTTTCTTCTTCTCCTTCTGTTCATCTTGTTTACTGTCTGTAGGCTTCTTCTCCTCAACAACACTCGTCTTCTCCTGTAACGAATCTGCTTTTTCGGAAACCTTCTGGAGATCTGATTTCGCAATCTCCTGGAGTTCTGCTTTGTTAGCCACGTGCTCCTCTCCATCTGCACCTGATTTTACTTTACTCGTTTCTTGCTCCATTACATTGGGTCCTTCCACGGCTTTATCTACACTAGGCCTCTTTTCTGATTTCGGAGCTTCCGTCGGTGGAGACGGACTTTTTGTTGATTTTTTCTTTTTGATGTTATCGGTTTCGCTTACCTTTTTCTTTGATTTCAATTCACCTGGCTCAGGCTCTGCTTTATGTTCCTTTTTGCTGTCGACTGCGTCATCCAAGCTTTTGATTTGACTGGGATCTTTTGTTACGTCAGCTTCCTTGGGCGGAGATGTACTTTTCTTATCAGTTTTAATCAATTTGTCCGTACTAGGCTTAGTTGTTTCGGTTTCCATGGGTGGCACTACAGTCTTTTGATCTTGTTCAGTAGCAGGTTCAAGCGCAGACTCTTCTGGCGGCGATGGGCTTTTCTTTCCAGCTTTGACCGTTTTTTTCTTACTATCCATGGTCGTTTCGGGTTCGTTTATTACTTGGTCGACAGTAATGTCAATGGTCTCAGTTTTCTGTTCTGTCTTGGGAGAATCTTTTGACGGAGAGAGGCTTTTCTTTCCAAGCTTGTCAGCTTTTTTCTTACTACCCCTAGTCGTTTCGGGATCACTTACTTCCTGGACAGTTGGAGGTGCCACAGTTTCTTCAACACGATCAGTCTTTAATTTTTCTGGAGTAACTTTCAAATCTGATTGTTGATCTTTTTCAGCAATAATCTCGGTTTTCTTTTCTGTTTTGCCGGAGTCTTTTGACGGAGAGGGGCTTTTCTTTCCAGGCTTGTCAACTTCTTTCTTGCTACTTTTGGTTGCTTCAGCTTCGTTTACTGCCTCGTCTGTTGGAGGAACTACACTTTCTTTCCCATCCGCTTTATCTATCTTTGGTTCTGCTGGAAGATCCGTTGAAGGAGGCTTGTGATCTTTATCGGCAGTAGCTTTAGTCTCCTCTTCTCTTTTGCTGGAATCTTTCGGCGGTGATGGACTTTTCTTTCCAATCTTGTCAACTTTTTTCTTACTACCCCTAGTTGTTTCCGGCTCACTTACTTCCTGATTCGTTGGAGCCACATTTTCAACACGACCAGTCTTTGATTTTTCGGGAGTAACAACAGTATCAGCTTCCTTTTCTGTTTTGTCAGAATCTTTTGAAGGAGAGAGGCTTTTCTTTCCAATTTTGTCAACTTCTTTCTTGCTACCTTTGGTTGCTTCGGCTGCGTTTACTGTCTGGTCCGTTGGAGGAACTACACTTTCTTGACCATCGGATTTATCTGTCTTTGGTTCTTGTGGAATATTCTTTGTTGGAGTCTTGTGATCTTTGTCAGTAGTTGCTTTAGTCTCCCCTTCTTGTTTGCTGGGATCCTTTGGCGGTGATGGGCTTTTCTTTCCAATCTTATCAACTTTTTTCTTGGTTCCTTCAGATTCGTTTACTGTCTCGTCCGTTGGAGGAACTACACTTTCTTCTGGAAGATCCTTTGCAGGAGCCTTATGATCTTTGTCAGCGGTAGCTGAATCTACAGACTTAGTCTCTGCATCTTGGTTGCTGGGATCCTTTGGCGGTGATGGGCTTTTCTTTCCACCCTTGTCAGTTTTTTTCTTACTACCCCTAGTCGTTTCGGGTTCATGCTTTGGTTCTTCTGGTATAACTTTGGAAAGAGTCTTTTGTTCTTGTTCAGCGGCTGTAGCCTTCTCTAATTTTTCAGAATCTTTGTCAGCAGTAGCTTTAGTCTCCCCTTCTTGTTTGCTGGGATCTTTTGGCGGTGATGGGCTTTTCTTTCCAATCTTGTCAGCCTTTTTCTTGGTTCCTTCAGATTCGTCTACTGTCTGGTCCGTTGGAGGAACTACACTTTCTTGCCCATCCGCTTTATCTGTCTTTGGTTCTTCTGGAAGATCCTTTGCAGGAGTCTTGTGATCTTTGTCAGCAGTAGTTTTAGTCCCCTCTTCTTGTTTGCTGGGATCCTTTGGCGGTGATGGGCTTTTCTTTCCAACCTTGTCAGCCTTTTTCTTACTACCCCTAGTCGGTGCGGGTTCACTTACTTCCTGGACCGTTGGAGGTGCCACAGTTTCTTCAACTGATTTTTCGGGAGTAACTTTCGAGCGTGACTTTTGGTCCTTTTCAGCGACAGTTATGGTTTTGTCGGAGTCTTTTGGCGGAGAGGGGCTTTTCTTTCCGAGCTTATCAACTTCTTTCTTGGTTGCTTCTTTTATTGTCTGGTCTGTTAGGGGAACTACAGTTTCTTGACTATCCGCTTTATCTGTCTTTGGTTCTTCTGGAAGATCCTTTGAAATAGTCTGATCTTTGTCCTCTTCTGTTTTGCTGGAATCTTTCGGCGGCGATTGACTTTTCTTTCTAGCCTTGTCAGTTTTTTTCTTACTACCCCTAGTCGTTTCGGATTCATGCTTTGGTTCTTCTGGTGTAACTTTGGAAACCGTCTTTTGTTCTGGTTCATCGGCTGTAGCCTTCTCCAATGTTTCAGAATCTTTTGGCGGTGACGGACTTTTCTTTCCAGTCTTGTCAGCTTTTTTCTTGCTACCTTTAGTCGTTGCCAGTTCACTTACTGGTTGGTCCGTTGCAGGAACTGTGCCAGTCTTTGCTTCGACCTTTTGATCTGCATCAACAGATTCAATTTTGGCTGAAGATGAAGACTTGAGGTCATTTTGCTCCTTACCATCGTTGGCTGTCTCACTCTCGATTTTAGGAGATTTTGGTGGGCTCTTTCTGGCCACATCTTCGATCACTGGTGCTTCAGCATCCTCAACTAAATTGCAGCTCATAATGAAGGCAAATGTATGGGCCACGACATCTAGAGGCCTACTCATCCGACTTACGTCTAGTGAACACGCTCCGCCCCTTTCACTTCCTTCAGCGCCTCCCACCTTCAATTTATTTAAGTTACCGCCCAATTTTGTTGCTGTAGCCATGTACGTTTCCAAGTCTCCTTCCGTTGGAGACGTGCCCAAGCAGACTGTGATCTTTGCATTAGTCAGTGAAATCGTGTCAGCCATAACGTCTAAGAAGATCTTGTCGGGAATAACCCTCAGTATCGTCTCCAGATTTTTCTGGAAGTCCTTTTCTTTGCTAAGGAATGAAGTCACGTCCTTTTCGTCAATTTTCTTTATTGCAGACTTAAAGCTCGAAAGTGACAATTGATAATCTTCATTCTTATTTGTATCGCCTTTTTGAAGAGTAGCCACGTTGTTGCCAATCTCAGTGAGACTATTTCGAATCTCGCCCAACAACCTCGCAACACCTTCATCAATTTGTACAGGGCTGTGCACCAGCCTCTGTTGGATTTTCCCAATTTCTTCGACCACATTCCGGAACGGAGCACGAAGAACGGCTAGATCATCTGGTACTGTTAGCGTACGCATCTCACCCTTCAAATTGGAGAGGGAACCATATAAGGTACTTCTGTCTGTCAAGTTATCACAGAGGTGCTCCGTGAGGCTGGTTAAACTCGCAAAGTTTTCTGCCAAGTTTTCCGGAACAGCTAAGAGGACTTCTTCCAAATCGCTCAATTCGTGCTCTAGACCCATGAGGGGGCTTTCCAAGTTGGACACCGCCTCAACGGTTGGAAGCGTTGGAATAACCTTAAGAATGGTTTGCCGGAAGTTTCTCAATTGATCCAAACTTACTAGACGCTCTTGGATATCACTCACAGCATTCATCACCGACTTCAGGGGTGATACTAATGGCGTCAATATCGTGGCATTTTGCATTTCATCAACAACCACCTTTAAGGTTTTGGTAAGTTGCGTTGCAGCCTCGCCAACTTCGCCTTTGTTTTTCGGTGGTAGAAGTAAAAATTTTTGCAAGGGTTCCGCGATGGTTCTAATATTCGTTGCCTGCTCAGGGTTGACATCCGGACACTTGATAACCTCGGTTTCTATGCTGAGCACCACATTTTTCAGGTTTTCCAATGGTTGGTTCAACTTGTGGGTGACCTTGGCCTCAAGCCGCAAACATGCTTCAACCGCACCTTGAAGGCAGTTCAAAACGTCAACATCGTGTCTATTAACGTTCTTAATGCACTCGAGCGGTGTCACTAGCTCTTCAAGTAATTTCCCGGTCGATTGGAAAGTTTCCGATTTTGATGCAACAGGAGCGATTGCGAGAATTTTATCTTGCAAATTAGTAATGGCCGTGTTGATTTCAGACTTGTCGCCCTTCTCGCTGATTGCGAGCAGAACCGCGTGTAAGGGACCTTGCAAAGCCTTGATCAGCTCTCCTTCTCGCTCAGAAACGTCTTTAGCTCCGCCACTTACTTTAATGGCCGCCAGACCTTTTTCCAATTTTTGCAATGTGTCGCTAACACTTTGGCAATGCACCTCCGCTTGCTTGGGGACGGTGCGCCCAACCTCTTTCCACTGTAACGCCAATGGTTGTATGGCTTTTGTTAAACACTCCACCACTAACAAGTCTTGCCTAGGTTTGTCTTTGATTTCCTCCACGGTTTTTAGTAACGCGTTTATCGGTTCAGCCACAACCGCGAACGCAGGCGTTTCGGCCGAAATTTGTGCAATTTTCTCCGACATAACTTTGAGAGCCTGGGCCGCTTTGAGTGCTTTGGTTTTTGTGAGTTCTGACATATCGGGAATGGTAGCGTGGACGTCACTGACGCACTTGGCTATTTCTTCAAGTGTAGCTCCAGAAACGTGCCTGCACTCTGGTAATACCACGCTTTCAACAACGCTCTCGAGGGCATTCAACGGTTTTTCCAGGTTTTCAATTTTGACATCACGCAAATTCTCGACATTTCCTCGAAGAATCTCGAGCTGTTTTTCCACAGTGCTGATCACACACAAATCTCCCTTAATACGATCCAGGTTGACCTGTAAGTGTTGCAAATCGTTTTCCTCGCCAATTGATGTAGAGACCGCGGCTATTCCCAGAGCTAGGTCGTCGTGGTGAAGATGAAGGACATCGGCACTTGGAATCTTCTCCAAAACGTTTGCCAAATGCGTTAACGAATCTGACACGTCTGCAGAGTTAGCGATGTTAGTGTGTTTGACTTGTGTTAAATTAGCGCCGAACGTTTCCAGCGAGCTTGCCAATTTCGCCAAGGGAGGATGGGACGTTTGCAAAAGATGCTTCTGAACCGATGACACGGACGTTTGCAATCTTTCGATGGAGCTTTGGAGAACGCCAGCTGACTGAATCGCCTCCTCCACCTTCGTTACTATCGCTGACAGTGCATCGAGAGGTTTAACTGCGGTTACCGTCGCCCGCTTTTCGGTGGTGTCAACTGCCATTTTAACAAGACTGGATTTCAACAGCTCAAGCCCTTTATTGAGTTTGGGCAGTTCCAATTTGAGCACGCTAGGTTTTTGGAGAACGTTCGTGACGGCCACCGATAACTGTTTCAGGGGTCTTTCCAAGTTCCTCAAATCTTTTGCTTCTATTAACTCGAGCGGTTCAATTAAATCGGAAAGCGAGAGCAGTCCCTCTTCGGCAAATCGGTCTAAGTGCTGAGTGTGAGTGCGCATTGCCTTTATATCGGATTTAAGCTGAATTATCGGCTGTTTCAGTGAGTCTAAGCGCTTGGTTTCCACTGAGGAAATTGAAGCCAGGACGTTCTGTAAGGGCTCAACGATGAGTTCGTTCTTTGCAAGGCCAATTACGGTACCAACGTCAGTCTTTAATTTTGAAAGTTCGTCTTCTACCGCGTCTGAAATTACAGCTGCCCTTCGCAAAGCACCGACGTCGGTCAAAACTACTTGTAACGCCTCCTGAAGATCGACAGCAAGCGTCTCTAGTGGAGCAAGGTTGTGCTCGAGCGCCTGTAACGGTTGCGACAAGTTTGCAAGCTCAACTGGCTGCATCTCCTTGAAGCTTTGTACTTCTTGCTTCAATTCCTTCTGCAATCTTCTCAACGGGTACACAGTTTCCTCGCCGAGGTTAACGGCTGCATCCAGCGCGACCTTCAAATCTTCAAGCGGTGTCCTTATGCTTTCAAAAATTTGAAGCTGGGACGGTTCCTGGATGGTCTTAATTACGACTGATTGCATCGCGATTAAATGTGGCAAGACGACAATCATCTCCTCCTTGCGAGGAAAACCTCGAAGAGTGTCAGCGCGGTCTCTTAGAGCATTTCCTAACGCACCAAGTGTTTGGGCCACCTCTTCGCCTATATCGGGCATTTCGCCGATGATAATGTTTTTCTCCACGACAGTCAAGTGGGTCTTCAGATTTTGGCAGGCCTTCTGCAGGTCGTGCCAATTTTCCGTGTTTTCCTCCAGTAAAACTAACGCCTCCTGTAGTTGTTGGCTTAAGATCAGATCGTGACGTTCTGATTTAGCATGTAGCTTCTCCAATTGCTCCGCGGTGTTCGTAAGTGCAATGACTAGCTCTTGAATGGGCTCGGAGAGTGCTGGCGAAATTTCAAACTGTCCAGCGTCTTGTAGTATCGATTCAACCCCCTTGCTTAGCGAGAGAACACGATCCTTGGTGGGGCCGAACTGTTGGACGTCAATCGCCGCTTCCACCACGTTTAAAATTGACTTATTCACGGCGTCGGTCGATGTTAAAGCCACCCCCACGTCTTTTAATGGGCGAATTATTTCGGAAACCTTCTCCGCCGTTGTTACTAGGAGTTGGCTATCGCGCTTGGATTGCACGTCATCGTTCAAACGCTGGAGCTCATTTATGGCACCCAGAACTTGTTCGGCGCCCGGAGTCACAAACGCTTCCTCAACTGACCGAATAGCATTCAACATTTGACTCCAAGCAACTTTGGAGGTCTCTGGGGTTAAGTAATGCTCAATTGAGTGCCTCGTGGCAATAACAGCCCGTTGCAGATTGGCCTTTTTTCCTTCTACCAGCATAGGTCTCTGCGAATTTTGAGCAATGCCAGCAATGCAAGCTGCCAATTCCTTCACGGCGTTTTGAACGGGTTCAATGTTTTGGTTCGGCTCACCTTCAGAGAGCTGCGCCTGTAAACACTCCGCGGGATCTTGCAAAACGATAACGCTCCGCAGTTGTGGATGGATTTGGAGAAACTCTTCCTTTTTCAGTGCCTCAATGCCCGAACGCAAATTCTGCAAGTCGGCCTTTAGTCCCTCTGGTTGCGATACGGTGAAAAGAGCTTTGCGCAGTAACTCACTGAAGGAAATGACTGCTCGTTGTAAATTTTGCTCACCCACGAGAGTTAGAGATCTTCGAAAGTCTTCAACTTGTAAACACAAATCGTACAAGACATCGGCGCTAGTCTCAGGTACGCTGTTCAAAACCGTCACAGCTGTCTGGATTTGGCCGATTACCGGTGAAGATGCGTCGAGTCGTTCAAGTTCAGCTTGCACTTCGCACAGTGCCGATGATAGTTTCTGAGCAGCCAAGGACTCGTCGACCGACTGAACAGCACTGAGAAGTTTAGACCATCCCAAGTCGGCGATTTCTGCCTTTTCTTGGTGATGCGATTGCAAATGGTGCTGAATGGAAGATTTCGTTGCGACAACTGCTTTTTGGAGGTTTACCACTTCCTGCTCCAGAATTACCGGCTTTTGAACGCTATGAGTAATGTTCGCAACTGTAACTGCTAGCTCTCTGATTGCGTTTCTCACTTCGACGTCATCGTCTTGGTGATGTTCTGATGCCAATGACTCTAATGGCTCTTCCAACTTCAACACGCTCAGAATCCCCCGCTGATTCTGAGCCATTTCCGTGCACTCCGCTTTTAATTGCTGAATATTCATTTGCAAGCAGCGCAAGCCTGCCATGAGCGGTTGCGCGAGGTTCACCTCCTCTACGGCTGATTTAAACGAAACCAAAGCGCGTTGAAGCTCTGGTAATTCCAATGGTGCAACTTCATACTTGCGAACCGCGGCGTTCAATTCTTCTGCAGGTTTGCGCAATTGGCGCAGCACATCTTCCTCTGCACTCAAAATGCCATCGATGACCTTGGCAGTGGCCTTTGCCTCTTCTGCGATTACCGGATGCGCGTCTAATCCTCGAACACCATCCGCAGTCTCGAGCAACAGATGTTGAATTTCTTCTGCCGTCAGGAGACCTTCGGAGAGAGCGTCGGCAACTTCTCCCACCGTTGTCACAAGTGGTGTTAGGGCACCAAGCACGTCTGGTTTTTGGGAACAGTCGACGAGCAGTAATTTTCCTACCACCTCCACGTCTTTCAGCGCTTCCGCTGTTGACAATTTGCCCTTTTCGAAATCCTCAACCGATTTTACCTGGGCCAAGCTGCCCAGGGCGATATTTAGTTGAGCAAGTGGAGTTTCAAGCACGTTTACACTCGCAGCGAAAAGCCCCCGAAGAGGGGTTTCCAGATTTGAAATTGCTTCTGATACATCCTGCGCTGTTGGAGACCCCACGTGGAGAGTTTGTGCAACGGCAGTCTGCAAGGTTTGGAGGGTGTGCTTCACCGTGTTAAACTCCGTGGGTTTGTTAACAATCTTTTCAACGAGATAAGTAATCGCCTTGCACGAGGGGTAAAATTTCGAATCCTCCAGGTTTTGCAACTTACCCACTGGAATTGCTTCCACCTTTTCCTTAAACAACTTGAACTCTTCTAGTGGAATTTGACCCTCAATTGCCTCCAACGGCTTTACAAGACTTTTGAGTAAATACCCGTCGTCATTGGAAAGCGAATCTAAGTCTTTCATTTGCGACCGCACTATCCGAAATCCTTCCGTTACCAATCCAAGCTCGTTACCAATCACCTTTTCGATGCTGGAGAGGGTGGAAATGAACGATTTCAAAACCTCAGACAGTACAGCACATTTGGGCGTGACTGCGCATACTTCTAGCGCATCTTTTGCCGATGTTGTCAGATTTTCAATCGAGCCAGCGGCTTTTAACGCGAAAATTTGCTCTTTAAAATTGGCCATCTTTGCCGCCGAATCGTCTTCGACCTCGACAATCTCCATTTCCAACAATTTATTGATCAAGTTCACTAACGGCAAATGCATGAACACCATTGGTGCGTTTTCAGGTGTAACTTCCACCTGAGAAATGTAAGAAACTATTTCGATAACTGACGCGCTCAGTTCTTCACTGACGTTAACTTTGAGTGACGATACCTTGGCCATTTGAGGTGTTGGATGTTCACTGGTTAGAGGCAGAGTTTTATCCAAGTTGAGAGAGATTCGCTCGAGTGAGTGTTTAAAGCTTTGTAAAGCTTGCTGGATGTGTGGCTGCTGAATTTGGAGCAGCTGAGAAGACTGAGGCGAGTTTTGCAACTCGACAATGATCAGTTCTAGCTTTTGAGCATCGACCTTCAACGACTTAAGTTGTGCGTCTTCGAAACATTTGAGGCTTTGTTGTAAAGTTTGTAGCGGCATCTTTAAGTTGGTCACATGAATCACTTGCGTTGGCACCTTTTGAGTTTGGATACGTAGCCGATGCAGCTGGCAACGTAAGTTCTCCATTTGTATACATTGTATGTCACCGATCACAGCCGTGAGGGATTTCGCAAGCTCATCCACGACCAATTGAGAAGCAACCACCAGTTCTTCGCGAAACTCTTCCAATGTAGCCAAAATCGGTTCCGGTCGGAAGTCTTTGTTACTGGCATGGCTCACTTGTGAGCTTAACTTGGTTATCGTCTGTTTCACTATTAAAATCGGTTTAATTTCGCAGCCTGATGTCACCACCTCCGAAAGCTGGGACAGATTGGGCTGTAACTGAATCAAAGGCAGTGCTTCCTCTGAAATGCTCGCCTCCTGCACACGATGTTGCAAAAGTTTAAGACTTGACGATAGTTGTGCCTCTTCACTTAACTTACTCAGCGCGTCAGACAGGGTACAAAGCACCGAATTTGGCAAACTTTCTTTTAGTTCCTCACTTACACTTTGCAGTGCTTTCGTAGCTTGCACCACGTTAGAATAACTCACTTCTTCTGCCTCCGCAGTCAAAAGCATCTCACCTAGCTCGGCCACGGCAACGGACAGCTCTTGTAAGGGTGCCGCCAAGGCATTCGCTTTGATTTCATCACATTTGACAGTCTGCAACAGCTCGACCAAGCTGGCTAGCGATAGCATTCCGGCCCGGACCGGCCCTTGTAACTTCTCGACGTGAGTTTGTAACGCAACCGAAGCCATCTGCAACTTTTGTACGGACGCTTGCAGCTTCTCAGTTCCCAACTGTTCTTCCACAACACGAAGGTCGACAAGTAAAAGTTGTACCGGTTCCACAAGTTCTTGAGACAACTTTTCAGACGCACTCGTTAAGGCAGCCCTAAGATCTTTAGAGTCGGCGCGACTGAAGACGTCTATTAATACATCGAGATCTGCATCACTTACGCCATCAGTTGCATCTAGGCGTGCCAGAAATTGGAACAGTGGCGGGCCGAACGTGGGGAAAGACGTTTGAAAACCGCTGACAGAATCTTTTAAGTGCATTTTACTTTGAACCTCGCCGATAGTGGACGACAAATGGCTTAGATGTTGCACAATTGGGTGATGTGCCATTGGAAGGGCCACAGTAAACTTTTCGGCGACGGTCTTCAAGTGGGCAAGCGTTTTGGTTACGCGTGGCTCTTCGATCGGGGCCGTAAGTGCTTCGTTCAGGCTTGTAAAGCTCTCCTGAAGGAGTTCATTTACAATTCCACACTGCGGCAAGACTTCCCGCAACGCGCGTAACGGCTTCTGCAAAATGGAAATCGCCATAACCCGTTGTGGCAAATGGGCTATCGTCTTTTCCAAGCGCACCAAAGGATTTGCTAGTGATGCTTGTTGTTCGCTAATTTCCTCGCAGGTTCTCGAGAGCACCTGGAGAGGCTCGACTAGTACGGCTTCGCTAAGGGTGGCGGAGAGAGCGTTTGATGCAACACCAACGTTGTTTAAGCATTCCACCATAGCTTGCTGGGGCACTGCTACTTTACCCTCGACGACCTGCAGAGATTGTTTCAGGCCCTTAATCGCGCAATCTAAGTCCTTCAGTTCTTGAGAATCCGGCAGTTGCGTAGAACTTAGCCCGCTCTCCAATGCGACCAATGGGGCTTGTAGTTCGGTGATGAGCACCTTGGTGCCTTTACTCTCGATCGTTTCCAATGCAGCAATTTCTTTCTTTAATGCCAGTGTGGCGCATTGCACGTCCTGTTGGATGCTATGTGATAACTCTTCTGCAGTTGATATGATGGCGTTGAGGGGGGCAACGAGTTCTGAGTCAATATTTAGTAGAATTGCGCGACATTTTTCAACGTGAAAACTGGTTTGGTCAGTAACCAAACAGTCGTGTAGTGCACCAAGTGATTCCAGCCGAGTCTCACTGTCGGTGGTGTCCAAAACGTGAAGCAATGCTTTTAGCGGTTGTTCCAATTTGGGCAAGTTAATTTGTAAAGTAGTAATCGGTTGCTTGATCTTTTCCAGCATTTGCTTCTTTGCTTCGGCTTGTGTTGCAGAATCTACGAAGGCACGAAGAGGCGTTGCCAGGACATTCAAATGCTCACTTCGTTCCAAAACCGGTTGCAAATTTGCAAAGTGCTCCAAGTTTGCAGATGGATTTTCAGGGAAGTTAACGTGTTGTACCCGATCTTGGAGGTCTTCCAGTAAAACAACTTCCTCCACGTTCATTTTCTCTTCATCGATGGTTTCTACAGATGAAATCAACGCGTTCAAAGGTTGACTTAGAGTCCTCAAGGAGAAGTTGGAAGAAGATTGAATCGTTGTCATTAACACTCCTAACTCCGACAGAATGGTTTTCTTTTTACTCTTGGCTGCTTGTGTTGCGAATCCAGATTCCACTTTGTTAATTGCGTCCATCAGGCAAGTTAGTATTGGTAGGGACCCCGATGGAATTGACTGACAAACCGTGCGAAGATGATCGAGCGAGTTCCGCAAACGAGACAGATCACCAGATTCCAAACTCGTGGACAAGTGCTGGAAGCACTCTTCCAAATTGCCTACGCCTTCCGTAATTGCGCAAAATTCTTCGCCTGTTAACTGGCTTGCAAAATCCTGGAACGGTGGCGCTAGCTCCGCAACTGGAAGCTCGGAAAGTCGTATTGCATTACTGAGCGATGCAACCTGAAGTTGCAGTTTCTCCTTTTTGTGTTGTAGATCAGTTTGCTTTTTTACTTTTGCCAAGACCTCATGTATAGGAAGGTGACCACTCATTTGTTGAAGCACCTCGGTTACCTTCGCGCACTGTTGCAAATCATCAGGATGTTCACTTAGATCCGACAATGTAACATTCAAAAGTTCAAGATTATTTTCAAATTCCGCCGGATAACTCTGGATGCTCTCCAATGGATGGCGAAGTTCAAGAAAGCTTGTTAAAATCCCTTTAGATGGACCGCTGAAGCTTTCCATTACCTTTGAAAGATTTTCAAGTGATAGTAAGACACCTTCCAGTTTACCTGACCTTTCCAGTTTGGCTTCCGTATCAGTAATCACTTTCAGCAAACCTTGAAGTGGTGGTAACAATTTTTCACAAATCGGTTCATGCTCTAATGCAACGGTCACTAACTTCAACTGCCCCACTACTTTCTTCTTGTCCGAAATTTCCAACGGCAACTCTAGTAAGTTACTGGTGGCAACCTCCAAATCTCTCACCTGTACTTCTTCGACCTCCTCCAAGGTTTTCATATTTTGAAGCGCTTCCACAGCTTGGGACAAGTTTGTAATGACGCCTTGGTGCGCGGTATCTGAAAGGGTTAAGCCTTCCAGTTGTTTGCGAAGGGTCTGCATTTCAGATACAAGTTCAGGTGAAACTAAATTCGTCTGTTCTTCAACCGTCTTTGTCAGCTTACGTATTTCATCAAATAACGACTGCAAATCATTGATCTCGATTGGAGAGTTTGGCACGAAGCTTTCAATAATGTCATGAAGAGCACCTAACGCTTCAATTTGCACGGATGAACGGCAAAGTTGAACAGACTCTTTCAGCTGGCTAAACTCAATCTGGAGGCTCGAACCGGAGACTTCTTTAATGTCGTCCTTAAGACGACTAAGTGATTCGGCGAGTGCTTTCAGTTTCTCTTTGGCATCGATCCTCTCAAAAACCACAATGGAGTGGTCTAAAATTTCCCGATAACCTGCAACTTTCTGGTTTTGGGCAGACTGTATCTTCAGGTCGAAGATGACCTTGATTAAATTTTCAAGCGGCCCCGAGAGTTTTTGCAGGAACGATTCGCTCATTGCTGCACCATCAGTTAGGAACGTTTTCAAGCAAACCGTCACGACCGCGTTGTGAAGGGTGGTAAAGGGCTCGTCAAAGTCTTCTACTCGTAAACTGGAGGTAGAGGCAAGTGCGATGGATAAGGTGGATCGTAACGAGTGGCTGATACTTTCAACTATCGGCACCTCTTCGGGCAACATTTCCTGACCGTTCGCGCCATGGAAAGCGTCCTGTAAGGCTTTTAGCGGATGTTGGAGATTAGCAAGTAAACCTAGCATCTCAGGATTCTGATTCGTCATAAACTTAAGGACTTCGTCGACACTTTTTGTTATCATCTGGAAAGCCTCACGTTTACTTTCTTCACGTTCCTTTTCGGATTGATCCAGTGCGACTTCAGCTGTTGTATCTACTTCTGCATTCATTTGTTCAGCAGCCTTGTTGTCAAATTCCTTCTGGCTGATCTCTTCCGATCTTCTTTCTTCAATTGTCGTATCAGGTTTGGTGAATGCTGTTTGTTCGAGAATGGAAGATTCCTTTGATGCGTGATTATCGAGTTGTTTTTCATCACTCTCTTCTTCACTTTGCACTAGCGCTATAGAGCCATCCTTTGATTTATCCTCATCTAGTGGCTTTGGATCCACCCGGACCACGTCTTCCAATTGTGTTTCTTGAGGAGTTGCGGCACCAAGTAATTGAGCAATTTCTGGTTTTAGTGATGTGTCATCCACAACTTGTTTCTGGTCGGCCAATTTGATTTTCTCATCTGGTAGTGTCGTTGGCTTCACATCTTCAGTTGTGTCAGTTGATTCATTCTTTTTTTCTTCGTTTCTTAGTTCTTGTTTAGTCTGATCGCCCAGTTGCGCCTCGTGAACTTCTACCAACTTTATTTCGTCACTTGCTGCAGTAACAGGTTGCTCCGTGCCACCTTGCACTAGCGGTTTAGAGTCATCTTTTGATTTATCCTCAACTAGTTCACCCAGGACAACGTCGTCTAACTTTGTTTCTTCAGTAGTTGCAGCAATAGGTTGTTGAGCGGTTTCTGGTTTTATTGGTGCATCAACCACAACTTGTTGATCGGCCAATTTGATTTTCTCATCTGGTAATGTAGACAATTGCAGATCTTCAGTTGACGCAGCAACAGTTGTGCCAGTTTCTTGTCCTTCGTTTTCTAGTTTTTCTTTAGACCGATCGTCCAGTTGCGCCTGTTTACCCTCAACTTCTACCAACCTTGTTTCGTCACTTGCTGCAGCAACAGGTAGCTCAGTGATGTCAGTGCCACTTTGCACTAAGTTTGTAGATCCCTCTTTATCATCATCTAGTTTCCTTTGATCATCCCGAACAACGTCTCCGGCCTTTGTTTCTTCAGCAGTTGCACTGGTTTCTGGTTTTATTGATGCATCATCCGCAACTTGTTTTTGATCAACCAATTTGATTTTCTCTTGTTTTAATTCCTCTTTCAATTTGGCATCAACGCCTTCTTCCTGGCCAACTTTGATCACTTCACCTTTCTCTTCGTCCAGAGTTGCGCAAAGAGGCAGTTGCAACTGAGCCATTTGCAAGTATATTGGCATGGTGTCGGAGTACTCAACTCGCGCAATCACACCTTTTTCCGCTTGGGAGGCGACCAGTACCTTCTGAATTAAGTGAACAACATCTTGCAACTTTTCCGCCGTTTGCGGAACTCCACGCTCCCCCAGTAACAAATTCGAGAGTTTCTCCTGAAACTGCTTTAACGTGGTCAAACTGACCCCGTTGTTTGTGAACTCCTCCACAACCGTAGCCAAGTTATTGATTACAGTGTAATCGTTGAAAGTGAGTTCATCTTCGATGAACTGAATTTGATCCAGTAGCTGTTGTAGTCTATTTATAAGTGCGATATGCTTTAAATTACATTGCACCAGTTGTTGTTTGACAGTAACGAGAGAGTGCTGCAAGCGAGATACTTGATCAAACTTAAAAACCTCGACAAGCGGTTCAAAAAATAGGGGGGCATCTACGATACCCTCTTGGATCTTTGAACGAACTACGGAAACTGGTGTAGTTTCACCTGACAACTCTTGGCAAATGCTACTGATGATGTCAATTGCACCCGTTGACACTTCCTCCGTCGGAACTTTACCCAGACTCTCAACCACTAGCTCGATTTGTGCTGACTTTTCGGCCATTATTGGAATGCCCTTCAAACTTTGCAGCGCTTCAAGAGTATTCTGCACAATCGATCGCTTTTCTTCCTCGGCCCGTTCAAACGCGCCGACATATGCGCAACAGTAGCTTTCGATTAAATTAGCCACCTTGGCAGTGGCAGAACTGCCTACCAAATTGTGTACCTTGGCGAAGTAGGCCTTGACCTGATCTTGGGTTGGTCTGTCATTCAACAATTGAAGACTTTCAGCTAACATTTCAAGCGCTCGATGATTTTTACTGTCAGGTACCAAAGAGTTCAGCTCAGTTTGAATGTTGGTAAGTAGCTGATGAGTTTGTGACGTGTCTTGGTTGGTCCCCAGTTTTCCAGACGATTCGCGCAGCGAGTCTAAAATGATATTGAGAGATGTTGCATGGGAAAACTGTACAGACTTTGCGTTCATGCAGTCGTTAACTACAAGTGCAAGCGTTCTAAAGATCTTGATCATCCTGGATTTACCAGGTAGGCTCACAAGATTTTGCTCCAGTTCATCCAAATTGATTTTGATCTCGGCGCTACTGTGATCAAAGTTTTCATTGGTCGTCGCAACTAAGCTCTCTAGTATCCGTGCTGATAGTTCTACTAAGCGGGCTTCCTGGGGCGATATTTGCGTAATTACTTCCGATTCGTTTGCAATCGATCGCTGGAACTCCTCCAACTGATCATAACATAACCCCTCCAGTTGAAGATTAGCAATTAAACTTTGAATAGGCTGCATATGCTTCATGACTTCCGCCTTTCTCATCTTAAGACTGTTGTCCAAAACCACTTCGACGGTTTTTACAACACCTTCAACCAAAGGTACTATATCAGTGAGTGGGCGAATTTTGTGCAGAATCTCGTATGTTTCGGAAAGGTCTCTGATATTTCGACCTCCAACTTCCAGCAGGCGGCCATTCAGATCGGTTAGAATTCCCTCGACGACTTGCAAGGAGTTCATCTCATCCGAACTCAGTGGATGGTGCAAGTCGAAACATTGTTCGAGCAGGGTTGCTAAATTCTTAATCGTTTGCGTTATCGTCATTTGCATCTCCTTGTCGTTTACGAATCGTTGGGATTTCGCCAGAGACCGTTGAAGATTTTCCACGGACATCGCGATTGCTTGTATAGGAGTGACCTCGGTGTTTGGTTGAACTATCTCCGTGATACTTTTGGCAATTTTTTGGATCGACTGCAAGATGTTGCGCACCGGAGACGTGGAGCCCAAGATTGACTTGAGCAAGTTGAGTTCTTCGATGCTTTCTTCAATGTTCTGAACGGAAATCACTGACGAGTCGTGGGGTTTTTCTAAGTATACGTTAAGGTCTTCCACGACTTTGTTGCCTACGAAGATTGCAATCTCGTCCTCTTCTTTGAACGTGCCAATTTTGTACGAAATGTAAGGCAAGTTGCTCTGTAACTCCGTTATGCAAATTTGTATACCTTCGATTTGGTTTATTTTCTCTTCGGTCATGTTTTTCTGGCTAATTTTAGTCAGAGTCGCGGCGATGTGTTCGAAAGTTTTATCTAGGACTTGAATTATTGGGTGCACTTCAACCTCGATTCCTTCTGATGGAGCCGCTTCGGCATGGAGACGTGGATGAGTCAGTATACCTAACAGAGTATTCCTAATTGTGTTGAATGGTGATTCTTCGCTGACGGTTAGCGCATTCACTTCATCCCGCACCAGCTCCAGTTGGTTTACATCTCCATTTTGCAAAAATACTGTACTCATGACATTTAGGGAATGCTGTAACGTTTGTAAGAACTCCCTGTCGGTACCACTGGCTCTTGGTATTAGTGACTCTGTAACATTCCGTACGCTACCAAACAACTGCCGCAATCTATCGGGTACGAAAGGCTCATGGACCGACAATAAATCTTGCAACGACTGCAATTCTTCCTTGAGAACCTCTTGGTTTTGAATCGTAGATATTGCAGCGACAACCTCCTCAAATTGCACATGTAGAGCGCTAATTAGCAAAGATGTCGACGACTTTGCCAATTCACGAATTTTACTCAGCAAATCATCACGGGCACCCCCACCATCGGCAAAACACTGAAGGTACTCCTGCACACATTGCAAATACCCCTCTTGGTCAGTCGAACACTCTGCATTCCTCCGGAAATCTGCCACTAAAACACTGCTCTCCCTTCTTGCCATTATGGCATCTCTGATCAAGCTCAGCTTCTCCACTAACCTTGAACGAACCAAATCTTCCTCTTTCCCTTCCAACTGTGTCAAAACGGCGGGTAATATTAATGAAATGTTGTGGATCGGATTGGCAATTACGCTCACGCTAGGGTAATCACCGAGGGAGTTCTGTACAGACGTGAACAATTCCAGTAGCCCCTCCTTTGGCATGGCGTCCCCTTCCACGAGCTTGCCGCTTTTCGACAAAACGAACTTGTCGACCTCTCGCATCGCTCGGCTCGACTCCAGAAGCACCCGTTCCTCATCGCGGTTTAAATCCGAATCTAATAAATCGTACGCCGCCGTTTGCAGGGTGCACAGGGACCTTTGCAGTTCTAATATTTGAATGTCGCGGACGAGTGCAACGTTTTTGGATAGGCACTGTGCGCTCTCGGCCAGTCCTTCAATTGCAGTCGACGGTATGAGCCTTTTCTCCAGCATTTGACACACCTCCACTTCCAGTTGATAAACTTGGAGCGCTTCTTCACTTTCGGCCAGGGTTTTTACGTGGTCTACAGCGTGCCTCAGTTCTCTAACGGAAGCCTTCTGAAGCCGATCGGATTCGATACAGCTACGCAACTTACGTAAAACTTGACCGTTTGCCTGAAGCTGACTTGTGGATGAGGATTTGTGAGAGTCCTCAATTGCGACGTGCAACTTCTGTAGTAGATTGCTCAAAGCTTCGTCTTTCAACAGAGGGCGAGCGAGTAACGCGTGTAGATTGTTAGTCTCGTCAATTGCATCAGCAATACACTGGGCCTCGGCGACGAACTTTTCCGATAACTGAGCCAGCGGGCTCAAGTCATTTTCTAATTTGTGCTTCAAAGTGTCGAGCATCTCTTTGTTTACGTATTGCAACCCCAAGCAAGCGCACAATGGCTCTAACACGTGGTTGGCTTTGACAACGCGTTGCTTCTCATAGGGAGCTTCGCTTACCAAGTTGTGTACGAAGTCTACCGCCAGCGGAAACTCCTCGAACTGTCTCAGCATTTGATTATGTTCCTGTAGTTTGGTACCGTAATCAGAAAGTGTCTTAAGTAAGGCTTGCTTTTCTTCCAAGGCTTGGCACACCTTTAACACTGGGTCAGTCAAGCTTTGGGGCAGAGCTGTTTTTAAATTAGCGAGGGTCTCTTCATTTGTAACCAGAACACAGTCACATACTGCACCCACAAAAGTGTGCAAGCCTTTCTCACCCTCATATGCTTTGGGCGTCTCCAAGAGTGACACGTGCAGGTTCTGTAGAGCCTTCGCCAAAGTCTCCTCCTTGACTGACGCCAGTGACTCTTTAAGTCGATCCACTGTCTTGTTTAGAACTTGTTCATCTAGCAACGCAACGGATGCCTCACAAAGCCTTTCCAATACCGGGCGTAAGTCACTTGGAATGCTCGCCACGGAAGCCTGCACCTCCATTAGCCCACCTTCTAGATCGGCCTCTTCTCCCCGATTAATAAGCGTAGACAGCGCACTTGAAAACTTATTGCTGGCACGAATACACATCAACCCCATTTTAGGAAAGGTTTGGGCAAACTCGTGTAGGGTCGTGAGGTAACGCTCCATCTTGTCACTTTGGTTAACACTTAAGCTGGTGATGACTTCCTGCATCTTATTGTACTCTCGATGAAGATCTTCGAGATCACCGCATACTTTTTCACAAGCTTCGGGCAGCACACTCAACAACGGACAAAAAGGTGACTCCTCTGGCACCTCCACCAGTACGAACTGAAGCTGCCGTACATTGTCCTTTAGGTTTTGAAGCGCTTTCTCCGGATTTTCCCTTTCAAGACAGGTAGAGAAAGTGTTTAAAAATGTATTAGTGTGATCAACACAGATTTCTTCTTTTTCAGATAGTTGCCCTTTTTGAGTAAGGTTGTGTATTAGAGTTGAAAGTGTGCTTTGAAGACTTGAATCTGATACGGGAACCAAATTTTCGAATTTTTCACGTAATTCCTCCAACTTTGAGGCGCACGGTATTGGCGCGGCACTTTCGAGTAGACTACTCACTTTGGCACACACTGGAGGTAGTGGTTGTAGAAGTGGATAACAAAGCGATTCCCTTGGCATACCCTCGACCAACTCCAGCATTTTGCTCTGAACGTTTTTCAATTCGCGGACCTCGCCGACGGATTCAAGGCAAGTCGATAGCGTAGTTAAATACTGAGTAACTGCATCAATGCACCCCCTGTCATTTGCATTCACCTTGACCGCTCCCAGTGTTGATATGGGCTCACGAATCGAGTACTGTAGGTCTTCAATCGCGTGAAGAAGGTCAACATTCTTCAGATTAATCTTGTACTTATCTAAGTTCTCAGTTAACTGGGACAAATTTGGAAGTGAGTGATCAACCTCGCCTAGTGGCAGTGAATCAAATATGCGACCCAGCTCCAATTGAACGCAACCTAACCTAGTTGCAATCTCACTGATATTGGAAGTGGCTAACTGACTGACATCTCCTTGAAATGATTGTATGCAAGACTTCGCCTTTTCTAGAATGCCCAAAGGCAACTCTTCGCTTGTCTCCTCTTGGACCTTTGACGCTTTCTCTACGTGCTTGGATATATTGGTCAAATTCGCAACGGCATTGTTTACCAACGCAGCTTCTTCCTCTTTTAAATTGCAATCGCGGTACTTCTTAACAATTACCTTAGCATCCTTTAAACCACTCTGCAGTCGATTCAAGAACGACTCAGGCACTGCAAAGTGTCCCAGAAGCGTCGCCGTCTTCTCCAGAGATTTTAGCGCTTTGTAAACCGGCACGTATGGGAATTTGAGTAGGGCAGTTGACCGTAAGTGCTCACTCATTGCCGCCTTCGTCCCACTCAAACAGGATTTAACCGCACTAACAGTTGGAGTCAGCGTATCTACATTTGCTAACGCCTCGTCCACATTGGCTACAAACTCCTCAGGCCCCCCATCGGACAAAGCCTGAATTAGCAAAGCGAGTGAGTCCAAGACATCCAACTCAGAATTGGTGACATCGCAATTCACCGATTCGGCAGCGATGATTTCGAAGAGATTCCCGAAAGACTCATCTAAGCTCGCGGAGGGTGCGACTTTCGCTTTCACTTGACGCATTCTCGCCGCAAGCGCGTCAAACACCTTTACTCGTCGCGCTTTCAACTGCTGCACTTCCGAAATGCTATCGTGAAGCTTTACTAAACACCTAGACATTTCGTCCGACACCTCGAGGTCGAATGTGTCCACGAGGTGCTCACCGCCCGTGGTCTCTTTCAGTTTCTCTATGCAACTGATCACCTCTGATGCATTTTGCAGGATCACTTTGTCGGTAGATTCTTCTAAAGCGGTGAGCGATTTCTCTAGCTCGAGCACAGGTTGAGCAGTAGGCAAATTTTTCACGGCGACAATATTCCTTTTGATCTCCTCGTAAAACCTCGGTGCCTCCGCCAGCTCTTCCTCGATAATATCCCCGGGAGCAATTTGGTGCCTGATAAAGCTGTCCTCCGTGATCGATTTCAAACGTTGCTTTGGCGCATGTGCCACGCTGCCCGTCATTTCTCTAATGCTCTCCTTAATCTCGTGCGCTCGCGCCTTCACCAAGAGGAGGTGATTGTAAAAGGTCGACTCCTCATCCAGCGCTTGCTTGTCGACATTAATGCTCTCCTCCAGAATACCTAGGTCGGCAATTAAGTCGTCCAAGGCGTCTACCGTTTGGTTGGTGGCCAAGTCTAAAATTCTGCTATTAAGCAGGTCGATCGGACGTGACAGTGTGTCCAGCGAGGACAGGGCGTTCTCCGTCTTAATCAAGTGCGCCTTCTTGAGCGTCATGCAAAATTCATTCTGCAAGCTTGTCAGTTCGCGCAACACGCCCAGGATTGCAGGATCGAGGGTTTGTTTCTGTACATCTTCAATATTCCACAAAAGCTCGTCGAGAGATCGAGACATGTTTTGTACGACAATGTTCGTCAGGTGTTCCAAGATATCCTTGACGATGTCTTCGGTAGGTAACGAGGTAGCGTCGGTTTCAGTCGTGTCCGCTTCGGATGCAGGAATGTTGGTTTGTATCTTGTCAAGACATACTAGGATTTCTTCCACTGGAGTCGTGAAGGGTTTCAGAATGGATATGTCGGCCAAATGCTGATCGGTGATTGTTTTCTGCTTCATCGTATCCATGTTTTTAATTAGATCAAACACGGGATTGATTAACTGATCGGTTAGCGCTATGCAGATTTCCTGAATTATCGACTTTTGGCGTATGGACGGACGCGAGGCGCGTTTGGTGATGATCTGCATTTCATCGGAAAGTTTCTCTACGTGTACGGGAAGCCGTTCTAGTATCATACCGCGCACAGTCGACGCCGTTGGATGCGAATCTTGCCTTTGAATTTCAGCGGTAACGTTTTGCAGTTCGTTGTGGATTTGGTACACAACATTCGATAGCCTTTGAACTATGCCTTGGGCCGTGTTGCTATCGGGGACTGCCTCTTTATCCCCCAGCGAGGTCGTACTGTCAGAAAAGTCTTCCTTTTTAAGCGGAAAACGTAGATCATGCTGCATTTCTTCCAAAGTTGTCACAACCTCACTCACCAACTTAGCTGACAGAGAGAAATTGGCAGATCCAGTTCTGTACTGCTCCTTCTCCAGCAAGGTAATATTTTCCACCAACTTCAAGCTTTCGATCATATCACCACGAATATTATTGCGTATGCTACTGCAGGTACGCTGAATTAATGTATGCTCTTTTCCTTGGATTTCCAAACATTTCTCGATCAGCTTCAAATGCTTTTGCGTGTCAAATATAGATGGCGCTATCAACTCGATCAGTGACAAACTACTGTCTGTATTTTCGAACCAAGCACTGAGACATGTCCGTATGTCTTCGATCGGTTGGGTAATGCTACCAATTATTTCCAAACTCTTGGTAGAGCTGGTTTTGAGACCCGAGTGATCTTTCCGAATTTCCTGCAACGCATCCAGCACATATCGCAGGTGCTCTTGCAATGACTTGCAAATTTCGACTTCCTTTTCTCGCAGTACGGCGCATCTCAGTTTAGCATTTTGTTCGGCTCGTAAACCATCGCCTTCTTCGCCCTGAACGTCCAAGCTCAAAATCTTTCTCTCGACTTCATCTTTAAACGTAACGTCGACGACTGGCGTCTGCTCCGCTTCTTCTCGGGTGTGAAGTTTATTCACTCGCAAATCGGAACCTATCTCGTGAGTTGTTTGTGGAGACAACGGCTGTCTTTGCATATCCACGTCTTCAGTTAAGCTGGTGGCTTCAGACATTGAGTACTTGGCGCTTTCGTACCGACTGTCCAAATCAACTTGTTCCGATACACTACCCTCACATACGTCAGACTCAATTGAGTCATTTTTAGAAAGACTGTAGTAGGTGTTGGTCCTTTGCGAGTCGAGCTTCCGTCGCGGTGGTCGCACTGGCGGCTGTGAATCATCGACGCACGTCTCCTCGGTAACAGAAAAGGCTTTCTCCACGTCCATTTCCGTACGCAAATCCTCTTCGGCGGTCGCAAAGTACTCCTCGGAAACGTCGATCACAACGGCTTCAATCAACATATTGCCACTATTGGAGGATTCCTTGGTGAAACGAAGAGGAGGAAGCTCGATGATGCTGTGCTCTAAAATACTAATCAACATTCTGCCAATTGTAGTAACGGAATACTTTACCAGAAACATGCTCCGATAATTGATCGGCGTACATTTCCACAATCTGAATTGCTTCTTCCTCCGTCAGATCGGGAGTTTCGTACAGAGAAACCGACACCTCTTTGCCGTCGAACGAAAACGAGATGTCGGCGCGGTCTCCCATGACGATCGAGATGTCTTCTTGGGGCGTATCGTACAGTTGAGATGTTCGCTCTTCGTGAATCGTTGAAAGAGATGGTTGCCGTGCCAACTCCAACTGCTCGCGCTTGGGCTTGGTTTGATCTTCAAAGCCGAGAAGGGAGGCCGAGCTGGCCACGGTTCCCATACAGTTCTTCGCCTCACAGGTGTAGGTGCCGAGACAGCAGGTACCGTCCTGTTAGTGCATTTGAATTATTTTACCATTGAACAATTTGTTAAAGTAAGCAACCCGCAATGGCATTTGGACACACTTCTCTTCCCTGCTTGTCCAGACTTAGGACATGCAACGCAGGGGAGACATGAGGAGGTCGATACAATTTTCTAGAGTTTACGGGATTTCTAGGGTTTCTAAGACAGATTCGGTTGATGTATTGTTCCATCGTTCTTTATTTTAAACGTGTTGTGTGATGCAGAATGGAATCAAAGAAAATCTTTTTTAAACACGTTTTTTATTAGGTCCTATTGCGGCTATCGATTTCGACCATATAAGGTCATCTTCAGGCCGAGCTATAATATATTGTTTAATGATACAATTATAATGTGGTGATGTCTTACCGTCATACGGTGAAATGAGGAAGCATGTAATATTATTAACGGTGTTATATGTATTAGTTATCAGGAAAGCTGTAAAATTTTATTAATTAACCACATTTACAGCTTTCCTGATAACTAATACATATAACACCGTTAATAATATTACATGCTTCCTCATTTCACCGTATGACGGTAAGACATCACCACATTATAATTGTATCATTAAACAATATATTATAGCTCGGCCTGAAGATGACCTTATATGGTCGAAATCGATAGCCGCAATAGGACCTAATAAAAAACGTGTTTAAAACAGATTTTCTTTGATTCCATTCTTCTAAGACAGACCCTACACAACTAGTTCGGTAGTTGGCCCAGGATACAAGGTCAAACACCACCTTGGACCCGCGTCATCGGTGATTGCTGGAGAAAATTTTTTTAATTGGCTTGGGATTCAAAGCTACGATACCTGAAATACAAAACGAGCTCATTGCAAACTGTACTCTTAATTGCATTTATATATCCAATGATCGCGCGTCGTTCAAAGTCTATTTCTCACCGATCAAAGTCCAAAGGTTGGTCTCCGTTCAAAGTCCACACAATTTGCTCACCGTTAAAAGTCTAAAGGTTCAATTCAAACATTGCTAATCAAAGTGATGCTGATGATAATCTTGAGGTGTAAGATCTTAAAAGTTAAAAGTTTTCCGCCCCTCATTTTGGGGTGGTTTAGAAAAGTAGATAAAGCTACCGATCAAAGGTCGCTTGCCGATCTGTTTCGCAACCGGATCAAAGTTCAAAGGTGAATTCACATTTGTTTAACCCAAACGATCGTTTCCTTAAACAGAAGGCCAGTTCAATGACACATTATTAAGATTTAAAACGCATCTCGTGTATGAATAACTCGCCTCGCCTTGTACGTTCTTTAAAAATTGACTTCTTCGATTGAAATCGTCTTATAAACTCCAAAAGTTGGTTGCTGTTCAAAGTCGAAACTTTACGCAGGTCTACAATCGGTTAAGATGGCGCTTGCGCACACACAACTGCAAGGTTAGGCGATAAAACTTCACACCTGTTTCGATGGTTGCACTTTTTAACGATAAGTGTAAAAGTTCGTGCAAAAACTGATTTTTTAAACGCCATGAAAAGTTTAGATGCATAATCTTTTACAGACATTAGTAGCACTGTCGGAACTTGAGGAACGAACACATTTGGAAGTGGAAATTTTTCGGGTGTCAAATTTCGAATTTTGAGAATTTTTAGGGTGTCAAATGTTAAATGCGTATATTATTTTTACAGTATGGTAATAAAACTATATTAAATTGTTTTCATGGTTTTTATTTCATATCCCAAATTACATACATTCCTTCACGTACCTACCAGTAAAGATTTTATCAACCAAATATACAAGATCTTGAACCTACTGTAATTCGGGTTCGTAAAATTCACGCAACATAGGATTTACTTTCATATAATCAAGGATGTAAGTAAGTGGGTTGATAATGCGAATTTTTATGATCTTCACAAGACCATTTAAGAGATGAGGAATGGGGCGCCAACTTTGAACGGCGAGCAACCTTTGAACTTTGAACGGTAAGTTCTAGTAGGCATTTTGCAAACTGCACCTAATTGAATTTATCTATCCAAAGATTGCGCGTCGTTCAAAGTTCATTCCTCACCGATCAAAGTCCAAAGGTTGGTCTTCGTTGAAGTGTACACAATTTGCTCCCCGTTAAAAGTCTAAAGGTTGCTCGCCGTTCAAAGTCCAAAAATTCCCTCACCGTTCAAACGTTGCTAATGAAAGTGATGATAATCTTGAAAAGTGAGATCAAGGTGAAGTTAAAAGTTTTTCCTCCCCTCATTTTGGGGTGGTTTAGAAAAGTAGATAAAGCTACCGATCAAAGGTCGCTTGCCGCTCTGATTCGCAACTAGAAGTTAAATTCAAAAGTCGATCAAAGTTCAAAGGCGAATTCACATTTTTTAACCCATACGATCGTTTCCCTAAACTGAAAGCCAGTTCAATGACACATTAATAATAATAATAATAATAATAATTTCCAATGTGCGCGTGTGAATTTTATTTTGTTTTTTTTTTGTTTTTTAGGACCCTACATAACTTCACCAGACACAGACACTAATCGTTACTTGATTTTAATCGGTGCGATTAGTTAACCAGGCTAGACCTGAGTTCTCACAAGAAACACCGACCATAATAATAATAATGTTTATTCCCACAAAAACATTATTAAGATTTAAAAAGCAATCTCGTACATGAATAACTCGCCTCGCCTTGTACGTTCTTTAAAAATTAACTTCTTCGATTGAAATCGTCTTATAAACTACAAAGGTTGGTTGCCGTTCAAAGTCGAAACTTTACTCTGGTCTACAATCGGTTAAGATGACGCTTTCGTACACTTACAACTGAAAGGTCAGACGATAAAACTTCACACCTGTTTCGATGGCTGCACTTTTTAACGATAAGTGTAAATGTTTGTGTGGCAGCAGTGGCACTGTAACAAGTTCGTGCAAAAACTGATTTTTTAAACGCCATGCAAAGTTTATATGTATAATCTTTTACAGACATTAGTAGCACTGTCGGAAATGTTGAGGAATGAACACATTTGGAAGTGCAAATTTTTGGGTATCACATTTCGAATTTTTGGAATTTTTAGGGTGTCTAATGTTAAATCTGTATTATTATTTTTACAGTATGGTAATAAAACTATATTAAATTGTTTTTATTTCATGTACCAAATTACATATATTCCTTCACGTAGGTACCACATATTTCATTTAAAATAAATAGTTATAAAAACAATATTATCTCGATCCATCCTAGATTTCTCATTTAAAGCTAGCCACTTTACATACATTTTGTTGTTTCTACGTCGAAAGATTTTCTCAACCAAATATACGTCAGGATCTTTAACCTTCCGTAATGCGGGTTCGTAAAATTCACGCAACGCAGGATTTACTTTCAGTACAGTAACTGGGTTGATAATTCAAATTTTTATGATCTTCACAACACCATCTAGGAGGCGAGGAATGGACTTTGAACGGGCCGCCACCTTTGGACTTTGAACGGCGAGCAACTTTTGAACTTTGAACGGTAAGTTCTAGTTTTAATATCAGCATTGAGCTGACCTGGGAGTGTTTGTATGCACACGCACTATCGTGACACAACCTTAACCGATTGTAGTAGACCAGTCAGTCTTGTCGTAGTCATGGCGAGTGTACAACCAAAACGCGGAGTAGTATGTTGAATGTGTGTGATTCTTATTAAGTACCGTTTTCGCGCAGTGTATGGTCATGCAACTGTGACTCCTCCTCCTGGGACGGAGGTTGAGTATCGCTTAGATGTGTGTCATGTCACAGGGGGAGCCGAAATAGAAACCTATTAAGATTACACCAAATTTTACAGCATTCACCGATGACGCGGGTCGAAGGTAGCGGTCTAAAATATCATCCAAGATAATGGATTCAAAATGGCATCCAAGATGGTGGATTCAAAATGGCTTCCAAGATGGCAAGCGAATCTTCAAAATAATTGGTTGTTAACTGCCAAAGTACCCACTGCCGAAATACCTCCGAGTAACGAAATATGACCCCGCACCTCGGAACAATTGCCGAAGTATGGCACCCCCAGCCAACTGCTGAAATATCTTCTCGCACCCTAACAAACTGCCCAATAGGATCTCGCACCCGGACTAAAACTGCAAAATTGGACCTTACACCCCCAGCCAACTGGCAAAATACGACTCGAGCCAAGTGTTAAAATTCCACGGTCCAAAAAATTTTCCCAGGGGCGACTTCTATATCCTCGTTATGCCCCCCCCCCCTTAAAAACACATAAAGGGAAGTAAATAAACTTACCTCGCCCGATGTGATTTTGTGTATATCGCCCGGTTTTAACTCTTGCCCATCTTTGTACCACTTCAAAACGGGTTGCGGAACACCTATCACCTTGCATTCCAAATTCACAGCCCCCTCTTCCGATAGCACCGCCCTGAGTGGTTCCAGAAACTTCGGCATTTTGTAATGCTTGGGCACTATGAGCTTTAGGAAGGAGGACGTGACGGACTGCCCGTAATCGTTAGTGGCCACGCACTTCCACTCGGCTTGGTCCACAAATTCCAACCTTGCAATATCCAGGTGACAAATTCCGAAGTTCTCCTTCAACACATTGTAACGTTCCAGCTCATTTTCCACTACCGGACGATCATCGCGAAACCAAAACAGCGTGGGCAAAGGCGAAGTACTCACTGAAAACCATGCGTTAACCTCACTTCACCGCTACGACCTCCTCTCACCTTGCACAGTGAAGCGTAAGTGGTCGTTAATCTTCGCCTCGCAACTTTTCAAACCTTGAACGAATTTAGGAGCTTGACTTTTAGAGAGCAGTTGCATTTTTTCATCGTCGTTCAGCTGATTTTGAATGTCCTCAATCGTGAGTTCCGCCATGCTCCTAGCTTCGCCCATGCAATTTCGAGCAATGCAACAGTAACATCCCAGAGAGTTCGTGCCGGTCAATTGGTACACGTCCCCAGGTTTCAATTCTTGCCCATCTTTATACCACAACAGTAGAGGAGTTGGCGAACCGACCACCTTACATTCGAATGACACCAAGCCTTCTTCGGTTAAAACAGCTTTCAGGCTGTCCATAAAACGAGGTTTTCGGAAACGTTTGGGTACTACAATGACTTGGTTATTATAAGATGGTGGTACTTCCGGCGCTTACTTGTCATTTTAACCTCGCATTTGGAAACGGAAGTGCCACCGTCTGCGTTTGAAGCGACGCACTTCCATTCGCCGTTATCGACAGCCTCGGTGGGTTTCACTTCGATCATGAACTTTCCTAGTCCGTCACTGGCCTTCTTATACCGACTCTGGGGTTCTTCATCTTCAACGCGCCCTCCTGAGTTGTACCACTGAATCGCTGTAGGCCAAGGGGGCACGAGAACTGAAAGGGTATTGATAATGGCGTTGCAAAACGTACAGGTAACGTACCTTGACAACTCAAAGTTAGAGGGTCCCCAATTTTGATTTGAAAGTCTTTCAGGTGTTCCAAAAATGTTGGCGGTGTCCCAGTGGCGAGTGCACTAAATCGGAGGATATAAATTTTCAAGTGAGACTACAACTTACCCTTCTTGCACGTTTTGGTCGGCGGAAACGTGAACCTTTGAGCTGGAGTACGCTTTTCCCATACAGTTTGTGGCCTCGCAGATGTAGGTACCAAGAGAGGTGGGATCATTCGCATTGGCAGAAAGTGCGAAAATATCGCCGGGCTTAATTTCGTTCCCATCCTTAAACCACCGCAACGCAGGCGTCGGTACGCCCACAACCTTGCACTCCAGCGATACGGTTCCCTGGTCGGTTAGAAGCGCGCGCAATTCTTCGAGAAAACTCGGCGCCTTGTATATTTTTGGTACTGAAAATGGAACCCCTTAAACGCCCCGTATTGCCACGTGTCACTTACTGAGAATGTTAAGATGGCACGAGCTCGTAGCCTGTCCGCCGAGGTTGTACGCGTTGCAGCTCCAAATTCCGGCATCTTGTGGAACTACCGAGCTGACATCGACGCAATAATAGTCCCCTTCGCTTAAAAATTTGAACCTTTCGCCTTCTACAACTTGTAGGTCGTTATGTAACCATTCAATCTGGAACGTTTTATTAATAGATCCGTCACGAACGGGGAGGCACGTACCGTTAGATCCGTCGAGCTCTTGATTTCGACAAGAAATCTCCCTCTCGTGCCCACTTTGACCGATAGGTCGTTTAGCTTTCTTAGGAATAAGGGTGGCTCGTCTGGACCGTTTTCGTTAACGTGAAGCTCGAACGTTTTTGAGTAGAGTCCTTTCGTTGATCGCGCATTGAGTGTGTAAATTCCCGAGTCTTTTTTCTGCACGTTGTCCAATATTAGCTGCACGTTACTTCCCGTTATGTTCACGTTGCTACGGTTGTCGTTTTCCAAGGGAGCTCCATTTCTTGTCCTGTAAAATAAATAAATTGTATTAATAAACGCCCGTTGCCACACAGACAATAAAACTAGGAAAGAGTGGGGGCAGCTCAATAAGCTGATCCTTAAACCGATAGTTATTTTTATACAAATCAAAAAAATATTACAGTACCTTATATATAGTGCCGTCTGGACACGATGGCTATCCTATTTTGCTTTATCTCCCACGAATATCTTTTTTGCATAGGTTCAAAGAAAGGTTAATTTATTCCTTGGACGCTACTGAATTTATCGCAGTTTTTTGTTTACACTCCTTCCTCTTTAACAGTTTTATGACATGGAGCCACCTGAATTACGAGACGCCTTCTTGGCTTAAGTTAGAACGGACCGTAATTAATCTATTTCCGCCGCTTTACTCAGTGTCGATCTTGAACTTTGCGTAGTACTCGCGTAAGAAAATAGCACTCAAAAATGTATATTTTTATTCCAGACCGCTTGCATGACGTTCTCGTGGTTCATAACCGAATGCCCTAACTTCTGAACTAATCCCTACCTCTGTTGTTAAATATTTTAGCACGCCTAAAGTAGTACTAATTAGTTAACGCGGCCATGAACCAATCGTATTCATTCCCTTCCCCAGCCAAATGCGTCCATCAAAAATGGCAGCCACTTAATATTGCCAATTACCGCTTCACATATCAACATGAATAATCCTGACTTGGCTGTTTTGGACAGTAAACCCATATGCACCACTTCATGCAAATGATGATGTGTAGTAGATTTACTGGCGTCGCCAGTAAATCGAGTTCTGATAGCACTGATTAATCATGCCAAATCGCTGCGATAAGAATTCACACGATTCGTCCCATTTCGTTGGTTCCGTTTCGTATTTTCTAGCTGGCACTAACTATGGGTATAGTAGATTCCGATCCGGTTTTCAGTTTTTCTATCCAGGGAAAACGAAGAAGAAGAGCGGAAGCTCGAGCGTTAGGGTTAGGATTGTCTTTATAAACAAAAGAAACCCAAGCGTTACCGATAGTTACGGAGTTGTAAGCGGAGGGTGTACTTTTGCATTTGGAGATCTGCTGATCTGCGAATTACTCGGCAAATTTGAATTTTTGAACGAGCTGGACGTGACTACCTTGGCCTACTTTCCAAGGTCACCGCAAGGTTTCTAACAGAGGGCAACGCTCACAAAAAATGAGGTCAATGACCTTGAGAATGTAGGCTTATGATCTCGGATGGCCTTGAAATTATATAGGGTCAATAACCTCGGATGACCGTAAAACTGTAATTTGACACCACAACAAATGGAGTGAATGTCCGCGGGTGACCTTGAAAATGTATAGGGTCGATGACCTCGGATGACCTTAAAAATTAATGGGGTCAATGACCACGGATGACCGTAAAAATGTAATTTGCCACTACAACAAATGGAGGCAATGCCCTCGGAAGACCTTGAAAATTTATAGGGCCGATGGCCTCAGACTGTCTAGAAAATGTAATTCGACACACCAAAAATGGGTCAACGCCCTCGGATGCCCTTGTAAATTGATGGGGTCGATGACTTCAAATGACCTTGAATGTGAATAGTGTCAATCACCTCGGATGACTGAAAATAAATGGGATCAATAACCTTGGATGACATTGAAAATGAAGTCACCGCTCTCGTGACGCGCGACTTTCTTCCAAAGTGACCGCCCACGTCAAATTGACCTACTTTCCAAGGTCACAGCAAGGTTACTAACAGAGGACAACGCTCTCAAAAAAAGGGGTCAATAACCTAGAATGACCTTGAGAAGGTATCCCAATGACCTCAGATGTCCTTGAGATTATATAGGGTCAATGACCTCGCATGACCGTAAAAATGTAATTTGAGACCACAACAAATGGAGTCAATGCCCTCGATGACCTTGAAAATTTATAGGGCCGATGGCCTTGAAAATGTAATTCGATACCCCAAACATGGGGTCAACACCCTCGGATGACCTCGAAAATTAATGGGGACAATGACCTTGGATGACATTGAAAATGAGGTCACCTTGACAAAGTGGTCTTTTTGCGGACTTGCGCCATTCGTTATAATTTTGTGAGTGTGAAACGGGTTTCTTCTTACATTTGCCAAAAACCCTTTGCCGGAAACGTATGTCGAACTTTCTACACGTAAAAAAAAGCTGCATACACCAACCAATACGAAACCTAACTTGTGGAATTTTTAACTGGGCGAACTCTGTGGAGGTTAATGCAATTTCGAACTAATAAGGGTAATTAAAAAGTACTGTAATTTCTATTTTTTTTTTGTAATTCAGAAATCGTAACAAATACCTTAGGGGTGCCGAAGGAATTCTTGTTAGACTTTAATAATTTGTTACTTTATAATATTAATTAAATATAGTAATAAGTATTAACTGGGGAAGTTATTTGGCGACGAGTTGAAAATTTTACTTTACTAATTTTCAGTTTTTGAAGCTTCTCCCATTTAGGTACAAAATTCTGTCAACGCCGTAGAAAGTTAGATATTACATTTACAGTACGGTTATGACCGGATTATTATGAAGCGAAAGTGACATTAGTTCTGAAAATGATCCCTTAGATATTTTAACAATGCAGAAAAATCTATAGTCTAGTAACATTTCTTTGGATAGTATATTAGAACAAATTGTATAAAGGGGAAAAAACCGAAAAAAGTAATGTGGGTTCTGGTTCTCAATACGATTCCATTTCTGAAGGAATAACGGTTTCGGTTCGGTTTTCCGTTGAGAAAAAAATACCGGTTTCGGTCCGGTTTTCGGTTCTTTTTCGGTCCGGTTCGGGTCCCTGGTTTTGACTTCAGGGTTAGATTTATCATTTTTTAGGGGAAGGTTGAAGATACAATTTAGGGCATATTGTAGTGTTTGATACGTTGTTAAAGTGAAACCTTCCGCAGGTATGGGTAGCTTTCATTTGCTATTAATATACAGGGCGTTGGGTATCGTGAAGAATTTGTTGTACATAGTTACATAATTACATAGATTCGTCTATACGTAGTTACAGAGTGGAATTTTCCGCAGGTGTATGCAGAATTTTATATTTTAACAGCTCGCAGGAAGGTGACTTTTTAACTGAATTATAATCTTGGTTGGCTGATGCGATGGGTCAGGGTTTTTTGTTTATGTGGAGGTGTAGAATACTTGTTGAATGATTCCCGTGTTAAAAGATTGGTTTTCGCGACAAAATAAAAGACCTCCTGGGTATGGTTGCCACTAAAGCGTTGTATCTAAATACCAAATGCGATAATTATTAAATGTTATTTGAATACTGTTATGTGATGGATCTCGAAACTATTTATTATAACGAGACAGGCCCATGTCCTAGACAAAATGGCATGCACCTGGATTCTAACCAAACACAAATGATACATTTCGCCCGTGCAACCCTGGTGTGAATGTGCCACAATATAAAGTCACGATTATGAGGGAAATGTTGGCGTACAGGTTGAAAGCTATTATAATGTCATTGTAAAATGCAAATTTGGAAATGAAATAAGAAAGTAGGCGAGTACATATCCTGGAAGGTTTTCAGTAACTTTTTTCCTTCCTTGTATTTAATGAAGATCCTGGACTTTCTTATTTCTTTTACGTTTAAACGTCGATCGCCTAACACAAGGTCCTCAAGAAGGACTATGTTTTCGGCCGTCATCATATTCACCGTCCTTCCTGCTCTGCTGGCATATTCCATGAATTTCCGTCATTTTGCTCAGGGTTTATTGTCAATCGAGAGCTGATCATGGTTCAGGATTCCCATATGGTTTTGGCAGGTTTACCAGGCAGAAAAAATACTAAGATACTAAGAAGAATACAGATCAAATAAACTGATCGTAATGTCCAAATACCCACATATAGTACAGCACATATTTTTCTGAGTAAATAAGGAAAGATGAGAAGTAGAATTGATCACATTTCACATTAGTCTGTTGAACCTTCATTTATACAAATTCTCTCACGTTTACATAATATATTTCTGTTGTAGTATCTATTTTAGGGTTCTATGCAGACAGACGGTGTTTTTATTTTTAGACAAATTTCTTTCATATCTCATATATGAAGGTGGTAGGCACTTGGAATCGTCAACAGTAGTGTTGTTCATAAATAGTGTTGAGACGTTACGTATGCACCTAATTAATTGAGATGAATGATCCAAAATGCTGGGTGCAGATACTTTGTGAGCCAAGGTCTACGAATGCGGATTGAAATGCGTCGAGTGCCTGCCAAGGTTATTATCATTACCAACTTGAAGATGAAAAACAAACACAGAGTACCACAACACTGCCGCATTTGAAGTTTTGAGTTGGTTCCAAAAAACATATCGACAACAGCTGTATATAAATTTGAAATAATAAAGCAAATAGCGAATTGAAACGCTATTTTTGTTGCCCTACTAATCTATTTTAAATGATCTCATCAGAATTCCGCCTAAACTATAGTGAGCATTGTCCTTTCGGCAAAAAAAAACAACACAAAAGCCATATCTTTATATAACATTACGGACGCGTTTCATCACACCTAAACTTAAACATTCTAAATATACGAAAACTCACCCGTCGTTTATATTATGGGGAGAAACTCTGGCAACGTATTTCCCATTGCCGCTATTTTCCACTGAACATTTACAACAGTTGCTCACTTTTTGCCCCATCACTTATATTTCGCTATAACATCCCGTCGAAAAACAGTTTGGGGTATCATCATTTTTCAGCGAACACGAAACTCGTCGAATGTGAACATTTTAAGGAATTGGGGAATTTCTACGAATTAATAAGAGCGCGCGATTAAGACTGTAAACTGGCGTAAATATTCGACGCCGTAGGATTTCTGAGCTAGTATTTTTAACGCTCGTCGGCAGCGTCATCGAAATCCCATTCATTGTTGCTGTGACGAAAGCTACGTTTGGACGGTTTTGCTACATCTAAAAGTCTTATTCTGAGCCTATTTTTTGCCCATATATGGCGAACAAGTCAACCTATCTTGCGGATGGGCCAAGAAAACTTTAATGAAA